ACACACACACACACACACACACACACACACACACACACACACACACACAGGATTAGATGTAACAGAGCTAGGAATGATTACATTAACATAAGACGAGTGTCGGAAAGAAATTATGAGAACGATATTGCAGTCAAAGCGAAAAAGCAACCAAAATTACTACATAGCCATATAAGAAGGAAGATGTCGGTAAATGACCAAGTGACAAGACTGAGGAAAACAGAAGGGGCATATACAGAAAGCGACAAGGAAATCTGTGAGGTACTGAATGCAAAATTCCATGGAGTGTTCACAACCGAGCCTGAGCAGCTCCCATTGTTAGAAGAGATTACCCAAGATGAAAGACTATCAGATATAGAGGTGACAGCAGAGGATGTAATGAAACAGTTGACAACACTGGATGCAAATAAAGCTGTTGGACCAGACAAAGTATCACCGTGGATACTTAAAGAGGCAGCGCAGGCTCTCAGCGTGCCTCTGGCAATGATCTTTAATGAGTCACTTATGTCGGGAGAATTGCCCAGTTGCTGGAAGGAGGCAAATGTCGTACCGATTTTCAAAAAGGGTGATAGGGAGGAGGCACTTAACTACAGACCCGTATCACTGACAAGCATCCCCTGCAAAATACTTGAAAGAATAATTAGGCTAAGACTTGTTGAGCACCTGGAGAGCATTGGGTTTGTAAACAAGCACCAACATGGGTTCTGGACAGGGAAATCATGCCTAACAAACCTTTTAGAATTCTATGATAAAGTAACAAGGATAAGGCAGGACAGAGAAGGCTGGGCAGACTGCATATTTCTTGACTGCCAAAAGGCCTTTGATACAGTACCGCACATGAGACTGCTATACAAACTTGAGAGGCAGGCAGGAGTAAGCGGAAAGGCCCTAGTATGGGTGAAGAACTACCTAACAGGAAGGAGCCAGAGGGTAATGGTAAGGGGCGAGAAGTCGGACTGGCGAACAGTAACAAGTGGAGTACCTCAAGGATCGGTGCTGGGACCAATCCTCTTTCTAATTTACGTAAATGATATGTTTACAGGAGTGGAATCATACATGTCAATGTTTGCAGATGACGCAAAATTAATGAGAAGAGTTGTGACAGACGAGGATTGTAGGATCCTCCAAGAGGACTTAAACAGGCTGCAGAGATGGTCAGGGAAATGGCTACTGGAGTTTAACACCAGTAAATGTAAAGTTATGGAAATGGGATCAGGTGACAGGAGACCAAAGGGACAGTACACAATGAAGGGGAACAGCCTACCTGTAACGATTCGAGAAAGAGACCTGGGAGTGGATGTGACACCTAATCTAACTCCTGAGGCACATATAAATAGGATAACGACAGCAGCGTACTCTACACTGGCGAAAATTAGAACTTCATTCAGAAACCTAAATGAGGAAGCTTTTAGGGCGCTTTACACTGCCTACGTGAGACCCGTCTTAGAGTATGCCGCGCCATCATGGAGCCCCCACCTGAAGAAACACATAAAGAAACTGGAGAAGGTTCAGAGGTTTGCGACGAGGCTTGTCCCAGAGCTACGAGGGATGGGATATGAAGAGCGGCTGAAGGAACTGAACCTTACGACACTAGAGAAAAGAAGGGAGAGAGGAGATATGATAGGGACATATAAAATACTCAGGGGAATTGACAAAGTGGAAATAGATGAAATGTTCACACGTAATAATAACAGAACGAGGGGACATGGGTGGAAACTGGAAACTCAGATGAGTCACAGAGATGTTAGGAAGTTTTCTTTTAGCGTGAGAGTAGTAGAAAAATGGAATGCACTTGGGGAACAGGTTGTGGAAGCAAATACTATTCATACTTTTAAAACTAGGTATGATAGGGAAATGGGACAGGAGTCATTGCTGTAAACAACCGATAGCTAGAAAGGCGGGATCCAAGAGTCAATGCTCGATCCTGCAAGCACATATAGGTGAGTACATATAGGTGAGTACACACACACACACACACACACACACACACACACACACACACACACACACACACACACACACACACACACACACACACACACACACACACACCAAAGAGCCAGAGCTCAACCCCCCGCAAACACAACTAGGTGAGTACACACACTCACACTCAGGAACCTGTACACGCTCAGGAACCTGTACACCAGTTGATTGACGGTTGAGAGGCGGGACCAAAGAGCCAGAGCTCAACCCCCGCAAGCACTACTAGGTGAGTACACACACACACACACATAATCTTTAAAGAATTCTGATAAAGAAAGAGATCTAGGGGTGGTTCTAGATAGAAAACTATCACCTGAGGACCACATAAAGAATATTGTGCGAGGAGCCTATGCCACGCTTTCTAACTTCAGAATTGCTTTTAAATACATGGATGGCGATATACTAAAGAAATTGTTCACGACTTTTGTTAGGCCAAAGCTAGAATATGCAGCGGTTGTGTGGTGCCCATATCTTAAGAAGCACATCAACAAACTGGAAAAGGTGCAAAGACATGCTACTAAGTGGCTCCCAGAACTGAAGGGCAAGAGCTACGAGGAGAGGTAAGAGGCATTAAATATGCCAAAACTAGAAGACAGAAGAAAAAGAGGTGATATGATCACTACATACAAAATAGTAACAGGAATTGATAAAATCGATAGGGAAGATTTCCTGAGACCTGGAACTTTAAGAACAAGAGGTCATAGATATAAACTAGCTAAACACAGATGCCGAAGAAATATAAGAAAATTCACTTTCGCAAACAGAGTGGTAGACGGTTGGAACAAGTTAGGTGAGAAGGTGGTGGAGGCCAAGACCGTCAGTAGTTTCAAAGCGTTATATGACAAAGAGTGCTGGGAAGACGGGACACCACGAGCGTAGCTCTCATCCTGTAACTACACTTAGGTAATTACACTTAGGTAATTACACACACACACACACACACACCTGTGTGTGTGTGTGTGTGTGTGTGTGTGTGTGTGTGTGTGTGTGTGTGTGTGTGTGTGGTGTGTGTGTGTGTGTGTGTGTGTGTGTGTGTGTGTGTGTGTGTGTGTGTGTGTGTGTGTGTGTGTGTGTGTGTGTGTGTGTGTGTGTGTGTGTGTGTGTGTGTGTGTGTGTGTGTGTGTGTGTGTGGTGTGTGTGTGTGTGTGTGTGTGTGTGTGTGTGTGTGTGTGTGTGTGTGTGTGTGTGTGTGTGTGGTGTGTGTGTGTGTGTGTGTGTGTGTGTGTGTGTGTGTGTGTGTGTGTGTGTGTGTGTGTGTGTGTGTGTGTGTGTGTGTGTGTGTGTGTGTGTGTGTGTGTGTGTGTGTGTGTGTGTGTGTGTGTGTGTGTGTGTGTGTGTGTGTGTGTGTGTGTGTGTGTGTGGGTGTGTGTGTGTGTGTGTGTGTACTCACCTAGTTGTACTCACCTAGTTGTGTTTGCGGGGGTTGAGCTCTGGCTCTTTGGTCCCGCCTCTCAACCGTCAATCAACTGGTGTACAGATTCCTGAGCCTATTGGGCTCTATCATATCTACATTTGAAACTGTGTATGGAGTCAGCCTCCACCACATCACTGCCTAATGCATTCCATTTGTGTGTGTGTGTGTGTGTGTGTGTGTGTGTGTGTGTGTGTGTGTGTGTGTGTGTGTGTGTGTGTGTGTGTGTGTGTGTGTGTGTGTGTGTGTGTGTGTGTGTACTCACCTAGTTGTGCTTGCGGGGGTTGAGCTCTGCTCTTTCGGTCCGCCTCTCAACTGTCAATCAATCAACTGGTACTAACTACTAACTAATATTTTTTCACACACACACGAGAAGCATGCCGTAACAGCTGTCTAGCTCCCAGGTACCTATTTACTACTAGGTAACAGGGGCATCAGGGCGAAAGAAACTTTGCCCATTTGTTTCTGCCATCAGCCGGGATAGAACCTGGACCCTAGGATTACGAGTCCAGAGCGCGAAGTACTCTGTGAAACGAACAGAGAGAAAGATCTAGGAGTTGATATCACACCAAACCTGTCTCCTGAAGCCCACATAAAGAGAATAACGTCTGCGGCATATGCGAGGCTGGCTAACATCAGAACAGCGTTCAGGAACCTGTGTAAGGAATCATTCGGAATCTTGTACACCACATATGTAAGACCAATCCTGGAGTATGCGGCCCCAGCATGGAGCCCGTACCTTGTCAAGCACAAGACGAAGCTGGAAAAAGTTCAGAGGTATGCCACTAGACTAGTCCCAGAACTAAGAGGCATGAGTTACGAGGAAAAGCTGCAGGAAATGCACCTCACGACACTGGGAGACAGAAGCGTAAGGGGAGACATGATCAATACCTACAAAATTCTCAGGGGAATTGACAGGGTAGACAAGGATAAATTGTTTAACACTGGTGGGACACGAACAAGGGGACACAGGTGGAAACTGAATGTTCAAATGAGCCACAGGGACGTTAGAAGGAACTTTTTCAGTGTCAGAGTAGTTAACAGGTGGAATGCATTAGGCAGTGATGTGGTGGAGGCTGACTCCATACACAGTTTCAAGTGTAGATATGATAGAGCCCAATAGGCTCAGGAACCTGTACACCAGTTGATTGACAGTTGAGAGGCGGGACCAAAGAGCCAGAGCTCTTTGTTGTGAGTCATGTGTTATTTACGTATCATCAACATAGCTCAATAGACCCAACAATAACAATGAACCAGGAAGAGAATGGACATGAGTAAACACTTTAACAAAGAAATACAAGAAATTATATGACAATCAATTCAAAAAGTACATAATACTCGGTAAATAGAAAAATTAAGAAAAGAGTAACACAAAAATATCTTATTAAAGCGGAAAATGTGAAAATGTAATTAATGTACTGTAATATTATATAAACTTTCTTAATTATAAATGTACAACCATTTAAGGAATAAAGCTTCTAATTTGACTGTGGTGACAGGTCCGTCGACAGCGCCATCTATTGATTGAGGACAAAAACAGAAAGTGGCCACGTGACGCAGATCATCACACAGTTTCTTTACCGCTTACTTTAATTGTTGTCCTCGCTGGTGGTCAGCGTTGGTCTGTACACTTCTTCCCGAGAGTACAGTGGAGACACTTGTTGGAGCTCTCTGCCCCTCGCTCATCCTTAGGCTTTTATTCTCCAGCAACCGTTGGAATCCTATTTTAACATGTGTATTTTAGTCCTTCGTAATGGTAAGTTGTTGTTGCTGATATTTATACAAGATGTATGATGTGCTGGGTACAATATACTTCAGTTAACTAGTCAGCCTACATATGTTGCGTACATATGGTTGGTTCCTCAATCGACATACCTTTGTAATTACTCCCTCCTTTCTGGCCCGTTGTCGTCGTGAGGTGGCATGGTGATGCTCCACGGGGTCAGTCTTGTACTTTCTGGAGTCTTGTGCTCCTGCTGCTGTCTTCACCAATATTGCCAAATATCTTTTTTTTTTCCCCGTTTCATTTCCTCCCTCTTTCTAATTGTCATTTCCTGCCGACCTTTTGCCAGTGATGATGATAATTAACTTCTTGTTTTGACGCCAGATTGTTTGGCGAGGCATTTCCACCTGTAGAACTGGTCCCCAACCTCGCGAGGACGCGTTTGTCAAGACTTCTTTAGTCGCTACCTGATCTTGGTGGACTGACTGTTCTTAAGGTGGCATGAGTATACTCGTGATACACCTCTAAGGGGGGGGGGGCAGCCGGCAACATCGGCAACATGTCTTGTGTCCTGTCCTATAACTGAGGCTCCATGGTTGGTACAGGGACACATTTGTGAACGAAGGTATTACCTCTTGGTTTTCATGTTGCTGAATACTGTGCCGCTTATGACTTCTCAGCCTCGTTGGGTACACGATAAAGGCCCCAAGTTGGACTGTTGGAAGACTGGGCTCTGTAGCCCCGCTACATTGGGCCCAGACCTAGCTCCTCCTGACTGCTCCCCTCCCTCTAGGCTTGGGTCGAGCCACAAGGTTGCTGGGCCCCCTCCCCAGCAGTAACCACCTCGTCCCCTGGCATGGCTCGCTGACTACAGTGCCTTTTTAACCCCTCTGGGGGATGTCGATGCCGTCCTCGCCATGGCCACACTCGCACGATCCCTTCCAATACTAATACATACAGTGCTTTGTTTGGGCCTGCTTCATGGGCTAAATACGTGATCTCCTTAATCTGAAATCTACACCTGAAGATTTCTCCCTCTATAAATACCTTGTTGATTCAGTATATGCCTTACTTTTAACCCCACCTATTTTGGTAAGTGTCGTTACTGCTGCTTCTCGGAATGCAGCTACCTGCTTAACCGCGTTAGACTCCTTCAGGTCTCCAGAAACTTTTTTTTTTTTTTTTTTAAATGCCAGTGTAGGCACTGTTCTCCCGCACCACGTTGAAATTACTGTTTGGTACCCAACACTACCATGAGGATATTAAACATATCCTCTAAGTCCAAGGCCATACCGTTCTCAAGGGGGACAAGTTTACTGGACCCCTCGTGGTCATAAGCCGCTTGATTGTGAAAATAGTCTTAGATAGTAGGACCCTTCCACCTTTTATTCTTGCTAGTGTTGGGTGCTCCCTTAAAGAGTACATGCATTCTACTAGACATTGTAATAAGTGCTGGAAGTTTGGGCATGGTGCCCTAAAATGTTGAGTCTTGTCTCTGTCCCGCGTGGGGGGAGGGGGGCAATGACCACTCAACGACAGATTACTCTTCTCCCCAGGCTTGCTGCCTAAATGGCGTTGAGGCCCACCCTACCTTCTGCACATGTATAGACAAGCTTGAAGCCTTCCTCAATTTGAAACGTCGGGATAGTTTGACTTTTCCTGAAGCGAGATGCTAAGTCCGCCGTCTCCACCCTTTCACTGGCGTATTTTATGCTTACGTGTGGCATTCTACCACCTCTTTCTTCCCACCTTCCTCAGTCCCGCAACCGTTTCAAAGCCTTGGACCCGGACACTCGACCACCACCTTCCCTGTTCACTTGCCGTGTCCCAAAGGGTCTCCCTCTTGGTTTTCCATCTGGGGTGGGGCCTACCCAGTCTGCCATGTTTCCTATGTCTTTATTGCCAACCCTCCCTCCCCAGTCTCTTGGCCCTTCATGCAGCCTGTCTGTCCATCCTCCCAGCAACCTTCGTTTGCCTCCGTTCTTCTCCTGTTAAGACCATTGAGTCTGTAGCCCAGTACGTTGTTGCTGGAACACCTGTCAGTCGGAAATGTAAGCCTGGCCCATAGGACAAGCCTCGCATACGGATAAACGAGAGTTGAGATTCTGTTTTCACCATTACATCCAATACTCCTGTCACAGATCTGGAAAAATATCTACAAGATTGCAAAGCTTGTTAAAGATGTCTTGCCGGTTCTCCACCTCCCCTGTACTCTTGTGGCAGACCCAGTGAAGGTCACGACTGAACTGGGTTCCCACTTTTCTGTTGGCTCTGGTTATCATCTTCCTTGATCCTTCTTCATAAACCAGTTCATGAATATCGTCCCCTAGATTTCCACACTAGTCTCTGCCTTCCCTATAACGATCCCTTCTCTCTGAACTTGTCTGCCCTGGCCCTCTGTGGATCTACGGCAGCAGGCTGTGATGACATTCATGATGCTTTGCCATCTCCCTCCTTGCACATCTCTGTATTTACCGAGTCTGTATAAAAAAAAGGTTAGTCCTCGCCAGTTTCTGAAGACTGGCTCGATGCTGTTGTACTCCCTATTCGGAAACAGAGCTCTCGGGACAGTCCCTAAGGACTTCAGCCCTATTGCCCTCAAGAGTTCAGGCAAGAACTTGTGGTAAATGTTCGCCTGATGTGGTTCTTGGCACCCCATCACCCTCCCCCCCTCTCCTGCTCAATTTGGCTTTCGCAAGTGCCGCAGCAGGACTGATGTCCTGGTGAACTTGGAGGTCTATATTCGTACTGCTTTTGCTGCAAAGACCTCTGTTGTTGCTGTCCTTTTTGACCTGGAAAAGGCTAAAGACTATTTGAAGGTACCGTATTCTGTCCCAACTTCGTTCTTTTGGCCTTCATGGTAATCTCCCTCTTCCTCCAAAGCTCCCTCTCGTTGTTCCTTTAGTCGGGCTTGGTGCCGCTTTCTGCCTCTTCGGGAACACGAAGGTGTACCCAAAGGTAATATTCTGAGAAGTACTTTTTTGTTGCTGCCCTTAATGGTCTTCTTTCCTCCCTTCCTTCTGGCATCTTCTCCGCTCTTTGACTATCTTGCTCTTTGTTATCGAGGTGGTGATTTGCCTCTTCAACGGCATCTTCAACTAGATTGATGCCATGTCATCTTGGGGCCACCAGTCATGGCTTAAAGGTCTCTGCAATTAAGACTTGTTCTATGACTTTTACACAGAAGCGTGTCTTTCTTTGTCGCTGAATGGTCATCACCTTGTGTACAGCTTCCACGAAGCTATTGGTTTATCTTTGACACTAGTTTGTCTCGGTCGCCCCCCATATCTATTACCTTAGTTAAATGCTTTGAGGCTCTTAACCTACTTTAGATTGTCCACTATTTGAGTGGATAGGCACATGCTCCTCTTTGCATTCCTCTCTCGTCCTGTCTAAACTAGAGTATGGTTACCCTGCATACTTTTCTACGTTCCCTTCTAATCTTCCCCGTCTTGATCCTTTGCACCATACTGGGTTGTGCCTCGCCTCTAGTGCCTTTTGTTAAAATCCTACCCTCGGCTTGTACGTAGATACTGGCTTCCTGTCTCTCTAGGACAAGAGATAGCGTCCGTCTTCACTACCTTGTGCGCTCCTTGAAACGCCCTCACTCTAGACTGTCGTGCTTTGACTTTCCCCCCCCCCTTTTCCTGTAGTTAATGTTCCCTTAATCGCCTCCCTCCCTCTGTCCGGTTGTCTCGCTTGCAACATTCTTTAGTTAGTACTAATATTTCTCCTCGCTGTTCTGTCCTTACCCCTGTGGAGCGTTCCCCTTCCTCAATTTTGCAAATCCTTTGCCCAAATAGCGAGCTTTTACTTGGTTCTGAAACGCCTTTTCCTTTACCACTCTTCCTCACATTCCCGCTACGTTTCCATCGTCACCGATGGGTCTAAATGTGTACACGGTGTAGGCTTAGTTTTTCATGACCATACCTATGTGTTGCCTGCCCCTGGAGACAATCATCTTCACGGCAGGATTTTCTCTGCTTAGTCTCCTGCTTTCACTGTCGATCCTCCTTTGTGGTTGTAGTTGACTCGGTGCCCTCATGGCTCTAGTCCTTTAATCCAGTCTCTCCAGTGGTAGAAATTAAACATTGGCTGTCTTATATCTAGTAGATTTGTTTTGCTGGGTTCCCAGCCATATTGGCGTCTTCCTTAGCGGCAGCGTACGGACGCTGCTGCTAGGGAAGCTATCCGCACTTGTACCATCTCCCGTAAAGGTATTCCTTGTTCACTTTCATAGTTATTCGTTCCTCCATCCTTGCCCATTGGCAAAGTTGTTGGTCTTGTTACTGGCAACAAACTGCGTACTCTTTAGTCGGTGTCCTTCCTACCACTGTAACCGGCGGTGGGCAACGGATCTGGCAAGGTTGGGTATTGGACATACGGGCTTAGCTCTCACTCGCTTAATGGAGCACTGTCTTGCTCCTTATTGTCCTCTCTGCATTGTCACGCTTGGTTGTGCCTATGCTTGTTGAATGTCTAAGACTTCCAGGACGAGCGTGTCTTTTCTGACTATCTTCCCCCCCCCCTTTGCATTTGCTTATCCCTTGTTAGAATTCTTGGTGAACTAGGTTTTTTATTGTTTGCCTTGCGCGTTTGTTCTTGAATTGGCATCCTCGGTGATATTTGGCGCCTCTGATTATCTCGTGCACTTGGTGCTACATGGCCTCCCTGGCTTGGTGCCGCCTTGATAATTACTAGGTAATTACATTAATTCCATCATATTTATTCTATGCAGCCTAAAAGGTTCAGTAGTCAATTAATTTAAAGGGGAATGTTGGTATGTGTATAGATTAAGTGCGGGGTATGAGGGAGCGATTTAATCGCTCCCTCATACCCGGATAATTCGGGGGATAATTCTACAATGTAGAAAAGCTAGATACTGATGATCCAATCTGGTTAAAAGGCTAATGGCACAGATTTGTCTTGATTTCATGTCATGATTGTAATGTTTTTTTTTTTTTTTTTTTTTTTAACAGGATCATCCTTGGCTGGTATTCGTGGACTCCTGGAGAGTAAAGTACAAAATCTTTTGCAAAGACAAAGTTCTTTAAACTTCAAAGAGTCTAGGGGATTTTTAGAACCAGACAAGCTACTCCAAACCGGGGAAAATTTTAAAAGTATTGTAAGATTTATTAGTCCTGAACGCATACTGAAAGACGGGAATATTTCAGAGCATTGCCTACAGACGCAAATTGATGAGGTTGAGAATGGTCGTCTCACGACAAAGAATGACTTGAATAAAATTAATCCTGCAGATAATTGCTCCAAATATAAAGCGTGTTCTTCAAGCTCTTGTGTTTGTACAGATAATTTACCAGATCACAAAGATGGTGACCTCGAGGATATAAGTGGCCAGGAGAGACGATACGAGTGCCAGAGTGAGCCAGTACTTGACAAAACTGGGAAAAACGGTGACCAGGTTTGGCAAGATGCAGAGTCGTCTCGGAACGACGCGTCTAGGTGTTGGCTGGAGTCCGTTTCGGGCCTCGACCCTGACGACTGGCATGATGATGACGAAGACGCGTACGGTGAAGTTGAAGTGCGTGATAGTTTGGTTCCTGGACAGAACACGAGCATAAATGTGCTGTTACATACCGGGGCCACTGGACGCCGTGCTGTGAACAGTCCTGGGGCCGCCGGGGGCGGTGCCGGGGGCGGTGCCGGGAGCGGTGCTGGAGGCGGTGCCGGGGGCGGTGCTGGAGGCGGTGCCGGGAGCGGTGCTGGAGGCGGTGCCGGGAGCGGTGCTGGAGGCGGTGCCGGGAGCGGTGCTGGAGGCGGTGCCGGGAGCGGTGCCGGGAGCGGTGCTGGAGGCGGTGCCGGGAGCGGTGCTGGAGGCGGTGCCGGGGGCGGTGCCGGGGGCGGTGCCGGGGGCGGTGCCGGGGGCGGTGCCGGGAGCGGTGCCGGGGGCGGTGCCGGGAGCGGTGCCGGGGGCGGTGCCGGGAGCGGTGCCGGGAGCGGTGCTGGAGGCGGTGCCGGGGGCGGTGCTGGAGGCGGTGCCGGGAGCGGTGCTGGAGGCGGTGCCGGGAGCGGTGCTGGAGGCGGTGCCGGGAGCGGTGCTGGAGGCGGTGCCGGGAGCGGTGCTGGAGGCGGTGCCGGGAGCGGTGCTGGTGCCGGGGGCGGTGCCGGGGGCGGTGCTGGGGGCGGTGCCGGGGGCGGTGCTGGGGGCGGTGCCGGGGGCGGTGCCGGGGGCGGTGCTGGAGGCGGTGCCGGGGGCGGTGCCGGGAGCGGTGCCGGGAGCGGTGCCGGGGGCGGTGCCGGGAGCGGTGCCGGGAGCGGTGCCGGGGCCGCGGACGCCGCCTGGCCTCTCCCTGGGGCCGGGGACGCCGCCGGGCCTGTGGTAGAGAACGGGGACGCCGCCGGGCCTGTGGTAGAGAACGGGGACGCCGCCGGGCCTGTGGTAGAGAACGGGGACGCCGCCGGGCCTCTCCCTGGGGACGCCGCCGGGCCTGTGGTAGAGAACGGGGACGCCGCCGGGCCTGTGGTAGAGAACGGGGACGCCGCCTGGCCTCTCCCTGGGGACGCCGCCGGGCCTCTCCCTGGGGCCGGGGACGCCGCTGGGCCTCTCCCTGGGGCCGGGGACGCCGCTGGGCCTCTCCCTGGGGCCGGGGACGCCGCTGGGCCTCTGGTAGAGAACGGGGACGCCGCCTGGCCTCTCCCTTGGGACGCCGCCTGGCCTCTCCCTTGGGACGCCTGGCCTCTCCCTGGGGCCGGGGACGCCGCCGGGCTTGTGGTAGAGAACGGGGACGCCGCCTGGCCTGTGGTAGAGAACGGGGACGCCGCCGGGCTTGTGGTAGAGAACGGGGACGCCGCCTGGCCTGTGGTAGAGAACGGGGACGCCGCCTGGCCTCTCCCTGGGGACGCCGCCTGGCCTCTCCCTGGGGACGCCGCCTGGCCTCTCCCTGGGGACGCCGCCTGGCCTCTCCCTGGGGACGCCGCCTGGCCTCTCCCTGGGGACGCCGCCTGGCCTCTCCCTGGGGACGCCGCCTGGCCTGTGGTAGAGAACGGGGACGCCGCCGGGCCTGTGGTAGAGAACGGGGACGCCGCCGGGCCTGTGGTAGAGAATGGGGACGCCGCCGGGCCTGTGGTAGAGAATGGGGACGCCGCCGGGCCTGTGGTAGAGAACGGGGACGCCGCCGGGCCTGTGGTAGAGAACGGGGACGCCGCCGGGCCTCTCCCTGGGGACGCCGCCGGGCCTCTCCCTGGGGACGCCGCCGGGCCTGTGGTAGAGAATGGGGACGCCGCCGGGCCTGTGGTAGAGAACGGGGACGCCGCCGGGCCTGTGGTAGAGAACGGGGACGCCGCCGGGCCTGTGGTAGAGAACGGGGACGCCGCCTGGCCTGTGGTAGAGAACGGGGACGCCGCCTGGCCTGTGGTAGAGAACGGGGACGCCGCCGGGCCGGTGGTAGAGAACGGGGACGCCGCCGGGCCTCTCCCTGGGGACGCCGCCGGGCCTGTGGTAGAGAACGGGGACGCCGCCTGGCCTCTCCCTGGGGACGCCGCCGGGCCTCTCCCTGGGGCCGGGGACGCCGCTGGGCCTGTGGTAGAGAACGGGGACGCCGCCTGGCCTCTCCCTTGGGACGCCGCCTGGCCTCTAGAGAACGGGGCCGCCGCCTGGCCTCTCCCTGGGGCCGGGGACGCCGCCTGGCCTGTGGTAGAGAACGGGGACGCCGCCTGGCCTGTGGTAGAGAACGGGGACGCCGCCTGGCCTGTGGTAGAGAACGGGGACGCCGCCTGGCCTGTGGTAGAGAACGGGGACGCCGCCGGGGCTCTCCCTTTGGACGCCGCCGGGCCTAGAGAACGGGGACGCCGCCGGGCCTGTGGTAGAGAACGGGGACGCCGCCTGGCCTCTCCCTGGGGACGGGGACGCCGCCGGGCTTCTCCTTGGGGACGGGGACGGGGACGCAACAGAGCCTATAAATGGGGACGCCAGTTGGTCTGCGGACGGGGACGCCGCTGGGCCTGGGGACGCCGGTTGGTCTGTGGACGGGGCCTCCGGTTGGTCTGTGGACGGGGCCTCCGGTTGGTCTGTGGCCGGGGCCTCCGGTTGGTCTGTGGCCGGGGACGCTGCCGGTCCTGAGGTGAGAGATCGGTGCCCCTGGATTCCCCCGCCCACAAGAACTCCGAATGTTTCTCCCGCTAGCAGCGTGTGGAGCGGTTCCTCTGGGTCCTATATACCTCGACAAATAATTGATTTAGTAATTCAAGGACTGACTAGACTACCTTCAACTAGTAGCGGAAGTTCCTTCAATGCAGCGGCTACACCACAGGAGCGATTAACGGATGAGACTCTACCTTCGCAAGCCGGTGACTCTTTGCCCATTCAGCAAAGTGGTTTGCACGCACGCCTCATCATCTTGACGCTGTTGATCATCGCAACAGCGGTCCTATTGCACACTGTTCAACAAGAATATTTAGACTTTCAAGATGAAAATTCCGACTACTCTAGTATGGATGAAGATTCAGACTCTGCTAGTTTAAATGAATTCGATAACTCTCGTGGCCACAGCCCGACACAATGAAGTAGATGCTAGATGGAATAAACACATCTTACTGCGGCTAAAGCAAGTTTTTAAACTGGTGCGAGAGAAAGGTAAGATACTGTAGTGACTTCAATTATTGAAGGTAGCAAAGTTTGTAAAGATTTTTTCCTTTACACACGTTAACGTATCCATTTAGAAATTAACTCGGGCACACAGATTGCAGTATTGCAAGTTTGCGTATCAAATGCATAATGTTAGGAGAGGAAGTTTTAAAGTGGTAATTTTTCTTACATTTGCCAGTGTTGGCTTTAAATTGCCTACTGTATTTAAAGTGGAAATAGTGGCTTTGCCGGGATTTGAAGCATAATAAAATTTCCTCTCATTAATGGGGAAAAACTCTGGATTTTGCACTATTTATTTTTCTATGAATTGCTGTCCTTTTTAACTTTTTATAAATTTTCAGTTCTTTATTTCGCCTGAGCCATAAATTACCAAACTACAAAAGCTTCAATAGTGATGTACAAGAGAATTTCGCTGGACATTGCTTGTATAATAAACGGGTAAGTACCTGCTCTCGGTTCTTGATACGTGTAAGTATATTCTTGGTGGCAACTGTTTGTAACTAGATTAAATACAGTCTTGTGGTGATAAAATTATTGGCTATTTTGGCTCTAGATTTTTTTTTTTGGGGGGGGGGGGGGGGACAACTTTCGTACCAAGAATTGTAAATTGTTCGGTCCACTTAGCGATAAATTTCTTTACACCAAATATTCTCATGGTAAAGGGGGGGGGGAGAGGAAGGTTATTGTATTTCAGACTAAATACGTTATGTAACTAATTAATGGCTAATTGGTCAATATTGGAGGAATAAGAAACTCGTATAATTGAAATTTTATTTCTTTAAATATATGGGGTAACCGGCGGTGCCCGGGTCTATATCCCTAGGCCTCTACTGTTCAGTTATTTATCAGAGGGACACTAATCCTTGTGGCCTGGACGAGGACAGGAAGCCGGCAGCTTGTCAAAGGTCCACCTCTATTTGCCTTGATCTTTTCCAGGTATATTTTGAAATTTAGCAGACGCTATGGATAAGTATGTAATTAAATTAAAATGCAAGTGAGTTGTTAGATTTTTAAAAATTTAGTAGTGTAACTTCAGTAAATTGTAATCTTCCGCAAAATTCCCAGAGTGGGGGTTGGGGGGGGGGGGGGACAGGTTTGACTGTTAAGAATTTAAAACATCGGGACATTTGATGTACGACCGCAAGCCTACTTACTGCTAAAAAACTAATTAGCTTAAGAAATTTATTTAAATTACTGTGCGATCTTAATTGTGTAACTAAACCGGTGTTCATAGCTGGTAACAAGACTCCTTGTAGTAGCAAGTAAGGTAGACAATAAGAACCCTACACAAGCCGGGCAAGGTCGGCGGCTCTGAATAATAGCTGCCTCTCGAACTGTAACCTCTTGGAACACCTTCCTGCCGGTAAGTTGTTGTTAATGCGGTAAATAAAACTTTATGTAAATATTACGTGATCCCCAAATTGCCATAAGCTTTGCTAGATTCCCACCCTTGGGTATTTTCAATGAACGTGCATACTTGATTATTAGGCTTTTTGAATATCCCGTACATAGCCTACGCGGCTTGGTACGTTCTTTTGATTTCCAATTTGGCCCCAGGTCGGTAAACAGACGTTAACTTGATCAGATAACATTAACCACTACACAACTTTCTTTTAACGGATAATACGTGTTCAACGCCTAACACTCTTTTTCCCCCCCCCCCCCCCTCCACCTCAATAGTGGACGCATCTACCTTTTTAACAATAAAAACTAAACGTTAATGTTTATTATCGTGTAAATATTGTCATTAATTACCACTTTAATGTTTCAGCGTGTAACACTGGCCGTTTGTGGGGAACCAGATGCTGCGAGACCTTCAGATGGACAAGGTTTAAGTCTGTGGCACTGGAGACCATGATTCCTGTCAATATATTTTCTTTGACTGTTGGGTTGAAGAAGAAAGGAACTTGGTATTAACACATGACTGGCTCAGAAGAGATTTTAAGAGCTAGACACCAGAGTAGTGTCAAAACTGTTTCAAAGTTTGTTGTAGGATCTCCAATACTCTTATTGGAGATCCTACAGCATAGCTAGAGTAAAAAACTATTTTAATTGAGCTCTGCTCATAACATTTTATTGCTATTTTATTGTAAAAGTGAACACAAAGTAGGATTTAGGTTATAAATTTTTATTTGACCTCACCCTCGTTGACATTTTAAGGAAATGTTAGTACAGGGGGGGGAGGGGGTATTAAGGAAGTACCTCTCTAATTCGCGGGGCAGTTTAGATTGAATTAAACCCCTTTTCTAGCAAAAGACTTTTGGGGCGGGAAGAAGTTGAAACAAATTCGTGCCTCGCGTCCATATGCCGTCTAAATTTTTTAGACCTGCATATTTAGTATTCATTAATTTGGCATTCGTGTAGTCTGACATTTTTCAAGAATCCATGAGGCATACACTGGCTCGACTGTACAAATTGGGTAGTTAAGTGGGCATTACGGATATTCTGTATTTGCAACGTTCATATTTTAAATTCGGCCATGCTATACCCGAGAAACTGTGTAATTGACATGGTGGCAGCTCAAATTTTTACCTTGACGTCATGCATTTTAAATTCATTTTTTTAAAGTTATCAATGACCTTTTAAGTAAATTATTTGCATCTAACGAGTATTGTCTCCCTATTGCCTAGTATACGCTTCCTGCTACACAGTACAACGTGATAGTCAGTCATAGGCTTCATAGTCGGTGGCCTATGAAGCCTCCAGGGTTCCTTGTGAGCAAACATTGTTCCTTGCGCTGATTGTCATGTTTAATGTCGTGGGTTAGAAAGCATTTTAAGATACCTTTTGTAATTGCTGGCTTGGATAGTGTGTATGAATTGATTTAGAATGTAAACATCATAGGCTGTAGCATTAACGGCCGGCATGTAGCCCGCAAGCCTGTAAACGTTTCATCTAAATTCTTTGTCTTAAATATTTGACTTTTTATCTAAATCTAAGTGACAGGGAAGACTACTTAATTCTAGTCTTGGGGTAGATACTTGGTAACATTCCAACATGTCAGCTGGACTTGACAGTGAATATTGAGTAAATCTGTAAGTGTTCAATCACTAGATAGACTAATGTGAAATGTTAAGTTGAATTTGGAAGTTCTACCATTATTGAAACGTATTTTTTTATAGTTAATGGGTGGTCAATGATTTTGTATGTTGGTTTTTAATCTTTTACACTATTAATTTTTAGTATTACATATGAGTGCCTTGAGCTGGTCTACCGATCACGTTAGACACAAATGTATAAGGAAAGTGCCAGAATATTATCTAGACTTTCCCACATTTTGAAATAAAGTAGTTAAAAGAATGTTTGTTTATTTGACAAGTTGTTAAACATTGACTGTTCCATTACCACTAGTGGTCGACGCCAGGAGTGACCCAAATGCACTAAATTTGTTTTCCGAATATACCCCCCCCCCCACCCCTGTTCATTTATATTTTCCGAATATACCCCCCTGTCCAGCTCGTTGCTGCCGTGAGGGGGGCTTGGTGGGTGGCTGCCGGTGTGATGTTCCTTGGGGGCGGTCCCCTGTCCTTTTGTAGCCTTGTGCTCCTGCTGTTGTCTTCACAAATTTTGCTAGACACCTTTTTCCTTTTCCTTCTGTTTAGTTTTTCTCCCCCTCGTCTCCTTTCTCATTGTCATTTCCCGCCGACCTTTTGCCCGTTTTGATTCTTTTGGTTTTTTTATTTTTGACGTTCGGGTGTTTGGGGAGGCATGCTCTTGCACCTGTAGAACTATAGTACCTAACATCTTCAACGAGGGGACCCTTTTATATTGTCAACCCTCCTTTCATCACTGAACCCGCTCTCGACGGACTGACGGTTCTTAAGGTGTTTGTGGGGCGTATACTCACGACGCACCCCTAGGGGGCCCCGGCATGATCGGCGATAGCTTCTTGTTGGGTGTCCTGCCTCTAATTGTGGGTCCATGGTGGGTATGGGGGTGCATTCGTGACTGAATCTTTCCTCGTTATGGCAGATGGTTTCCCTTTTACCTTCTCAGGCTCGGGGTGGGCGACCAAGCCCCCCCGAGTTGCACTGTTCGAAGACCAGGCTCTGTAGTTCCCGCTGCATTGGGCCTCGACCTTGCTCCTCCTGACTACTCTCCTCTGCGGTAGGGTAGAGTTCCCAGCCCCCAGTGGTGACCCACTTGTCCCCTGGCACGGCTCCCTCTCATTGTGATTACTGCGCCTTTTACCCCCCCCCCCCCCCACCTCACTCTGGGGGTTCTCAACGTCGTCCTCGTCACGGCCACACTCGCACGATCCCTTCCCATACTAATACCTACAACGCCTTGTTTCGTCCCGCTACATGGGCGCTAAATACTTTGATCACCATCTGGATTCTACTGAAGATTTCTCCCTCCATAAACACCTTGTCGATTCAGATGCCTCTGTTACTTTTAACCCCACCAATTACGGCACACGTGTCGTTGCTGCTCCATCTCGGGATGCAGCTACTCGCTTAGCCGCTTTGTCCTGCATTGGGGAGACCCCTGTTCGGGTCTCTAAAAACGCTCGGTTAAATGCCAGTGTTGGCACTGTTCTCCTCCCACACCATGTTACAACTGGTGTTCGGAACCTCAAAGATTGCCATGAGGATATTAAACATATCCTCGAAGCCCAAGGCCATTCTGTCCTCCAGGTGGACACGTTTACTCGACCCCCTCGTGGTCGTCGCCGTCAGCCCCTTCAAGTTGTAAAAAATCACCTCTGATAATAAGGCCCTTCTGCCCTCTATTATTCTTGCCGGTGCCAGATGCTCCGTTCAAGAGTACATTCCCTCTCCTAGACTTTGCAATAAGTGCTGGAAGCTTGGGCACGGTGTCCTCGAGTGCACCAGTACTGTGTATCTGTGCCCCATGTGTGGGGACGATCATTATAAGTCCGGGTGCACTTCTCCCCAGGCTCGCTGCCTCAATTGCGGTGAGGCCCACCCTACGTTCTCACGCTCGTGTATACACTACAAACTCGAGGAAGCCGTCCTCAACTTGAAACACCGTGATCGTCTGTCTTTTCCTGAAGCGAGACGCCAAGTTCGTCGTCTCGCCCCTTTCGCGGGTGTATCCTATGCTCGCATATTGAGTTCTACCTCCCCTCGTCCTTCCCATCTTCCCCAGTTTCACAACCGTTTCCATACCTTGGACCCGAACACACCCACCACCTCCTCCCCTATTCCTTTGCATCCTGTTCCGAAAGGTCTCCCTCCTGGTTCTCCACCTGGAGTTCCCCCCCTTCCTGCCCAGTCCACCATGTCTCCTATGTCTTCTTCCCCATCTCCCCCCCCCCACTCTTTCTTCCCGACCCTCCCCCCCCTGTCTCTTGACCCTCCACGCCACCTGTCTGTCCAGGCTGATATCCATCATCCTCCCAGCAATCTTCGTGTTGTTCGCTCTCGTTCCTCTTCTGCTGAGACCATCGAGTCTGTCGCCCAGTACGTTGTTACTGGAACGCCTGTCTCTTCGAGTCAGAATCGTAAGCCTGGCTCCACTCCTCCTTCCTCTCCGGCGGGTAAGAAAGTTTCGCTCTCTTCCTCGCCCCCCTCCCTCTGACTCTATCACTACGTCCCCTCCCATTTCAGTGGTCCGGCCCCCTGTCCCAAATATGGAGGTTTCTTTCGCCCACAATTCCCTCTCGGTTGCTGCCCTTACTGAGGTGCATTCCCTTATTTCTGCCCCCCCCTCCCTCCTCCAACTGTCCTTGCCTGCCCCTCTCAGTTGTCTCCTCCTCCTCCTCCTCCGGACCCCGTCAGTCCGCCTCTGATCTGTTCTCTCGCTCCCTTCCCTCTCTAACTAAGTTTACCCATGCCCCCTAACCCTGATTTTACCGACCCTGATCCTGAGATTCTTTAATATACTGTGTTCTTCTTTACCTTCCTTTCTTTATTGTTCTCTGTTACTGTCCCTTCTCTTTGATAATGTTTATTCTTCAGTGGAATATTCGTGGATTTTATGCCAACTTCCATGAACTCCAACTTCTAATTACACAGTTTACACCACTTTGTGTTTGTCTCCAGGAACCCATGCTTGGTGCTCGTCCTGGTCACTTTCCTGGTTATTACTTTCTTTCTCCCCCCCCCCCCAGCTCTTGCTGGGGGTCATAACTCTACTGCTCTCTTAATTCGTTCTGATATTCCCTTCGTCCCCCTACTTCTTCCGTCCCCTATCCATTGTTCTGCTGCCCGTGTTTTTGTGGGTAAATGGTATACAGTCTGTTCCATTTATCTCCCTCCAAATGTCCCTCTTTCCCTTCCTGACCTTAAGCACCTCCTGGACTCCTTGCCAGTGCTCCTTTTGGGTGATTTCAACTGTCGACATTCCCTCTGGGGTTATGCTCTGACAAACACCCGAGGCCGTCTTCTCGAACCGTTCGTCCTCGCTTCTTCTCTATCTCTTCTGAATTCTGGTGAACCCACTCATGTGGACTCTCGAACTCGCACCCTTTCCTGTCTTGATCTTTCTCTCTGCTCGTCGTCCCTTTACTTAGATTTCACGTGACGGGTTCTTGATGACCTCCATGGCAGTGACTATTTCTCCATCCTTGTTTCCTTTTTCTCTTTCCACCTTCCCCTCTCCTTCCCTAGGTGGCAGTTTGTCAAGGCTGACTGGAACCTATTCACCCTCCATGCTGCTCTCTCTGACCTCTCCTCTCTGCCTCTTCCTCGCGCCCTCCTCCTTTCTTATGACAGTCTTCAACGCTGCCCTCCGCTCTATTCCTTGCTCTTCCTCCCGGGGCACGCGGAAGTGCGTTCCCTGGTGGAATGCGGACTGTGCTCAGGCTGTCTGCTGTAAGCGTGCAGCCTGGAAGAGGCACCGCCGCCGGCAGACGGCTGATTCTTTTATTTTGTTTCGGAAGGCAAGTGTGGTGGCCCGAAGGACCATCCGTACAGCTAAACATGAGAGCTGGAAATTTTGTTTCCACCATTACGTCCGATACTCCTCTGTCGCTGATCTGGAAGAAGATCCGCAAGATTGCGGGCAAGTTCGTTCCAGATGTCTCGCCGGTTCTCCACCTCTGTGGTAATCTTGTGGCGAACCCAGTGACGGTCGCGACCGAACTGGGTTCCCACTTTTCTACTGTTAGCTCTGGTTCTCATCTTCCTCAATCCTTCCTTCTTGATTTCTTGAATTAAGCCCGTTCTTGAATCTCATCCCTTAGATTTCCATACTCCTCTCCGCCTTTCCTATAACGATCCCTTCTCTCTCTGAACTTCAGTCTGCCCTGGCCATCTGCGGTTCTACGGCGGCGGGCTCCGATGACGTTCATTGTGAGATGCTTCGCCATCTCTCTCCGTGCACGTCTCTGTATTTACTGGATCTGTATTACCAGGTCTGGGAGTCGTCGTCAGTCTCTGAGGACTGGCTCGATGCCGTTGTACGTCCTATTTTAAACCAGGGTCTCTCGGGACATCCCCTAAGGACTTTAGCCCTATTGCCCTCACGAGTTGAGTCTGCAAACTCTTTGAGCGTATGGTAAATGTTTGTCTGATGTGGTTCTTGGAACGCCATCACCACTTCTCTCCTCAATTTGGTTTCCGCAAGTGCCGCAGCACGACAGATGTCCTGGTGAACTTGGAGGTCTATATTCGTACTGCTTTTGCGGCGAGGACCTACGTTGTTGCTGTCCTTTTTGACCTGGAAAAGGCTTATGACAACCTGGAGATATCATATTCTGTCCTAACTTCGTTTTTTTGGCCTTCGTGGTAATCTCCCTCTCTTCCTCCAAAGCTTCCTCTCTTGTCGTTCCTTTCGAGTCAGGTTTGGTGCCACTCTCTCTGCCTCTTTTCGGCAGTATGAAGGTGTGCCCCAGGGTAGTGTTCTGAGCACTACTCTTTTTCTGGTTGCCCTCAATGGTCTTCTTTCCTCAATATTGCAAATCCCTGACCCACATCACAAGCTTTTACCCCTCCTACGGTTCTGAAGAGTCTTTTCCTTGAACACTTTTCTTCACATTCCCGCTTAGTTTCCATTTTCACCGATGGGTTTAAGTCTGCACACGGTGTAGGCTACTCTTTTTTTTTTTTTCCCTGACCACACTTATATGTGTCGTCTGCCTTCGGAGACGGAGACTAGCATCTTCTCGGCAGAACTTTATGCTATTCTCTATGCCCTTCGTCTCCTGCTTTCTCGCTGTCAATCCTCCTTTGTGGTTGTAGTTGACTCTCGCAGTGCCCTCATGACTCCGGAGTCCTTTAATCCAGTCCATCCGGTGGTCGTTGAGATTCAACACTGGCTGCTTCTTATCTCCAGTAGATTTAAGACAGTTGAGTTTTGCTGGGTTCCCAGCGATGATGATGATTTGATAAAGATTAAGCCACCCAAGAGGTGGCACGGGCATGAATAGCCCGTAAGTGGTACAATTTATTTATTTTTTTTCTCAGTATTCTGAGGTTGCATTTACCCATCAAGCTGTTATCGCGGGGGAGGATACTGCTTCACAGTCTTTATGAGGGTGTCCAGCTGCTGGACACCTTTGTTGACCAGGAGAGTGGCTGTGGGTTCCCAGCCATGTTGGTTTCTCCTTAAATGAGCGTGCGGACGCTGCCGCTAAGGAAGCTATCCGTTCTTGTCCCATCTCCCATAAAAGTATTCCTTATTCCGACTTTTACCCAGTTATTCATTCCTCCATCCTTACCCGTTGGCAGAGTTTTTGGTCTTCTGTTACTGGTAACAAACTGCGTATTCTTAAGGGTAGAGTGTCCCTGTGGCCTTCCTCCTACCACCGTAACCGGCGATGGGAAACAGCTCTGGCAAGGCTGCGTATTGGCAATACACGCTTAACTCACGGTCACTTAATGGAGCGCCGCCCTGCTCCTTATTGTCCTAACTGCATTGTCCTTCTTACAGTTGTGCATATCCTTGTTGAATGTCCTGACTTCCAGGACGAGCGTATGTCTTGCTTTCCAACCGTCCCTCGCGGTCACCTGTCCCTCGAAAGAATTCTTGGTGAATCGGATACTTTTTATATCGTTCACCTTATGCGTTTCTGTTCTCTTATTGGTATCCTCAGTGATATTGACACATGACACATGTAGAGCCACTTTACACCCAGGCGTCCAAGCACCACTACACATGTAGTGTGTCACTTTACACCCAGGCGTCCAAGCACCAGTATATGCCCCACTACACCTCTCATCCAACACCAGCACACACTGTATCCCACTACATCCAATGCTTCAGTGGACGGAGAGACGAGCCGCTGGCCCCTGTAGACCTTGACACCAGTGATGAGAATGTTCACCTGTAATAGCCACCCGTGATCGACCAGTGTCCTTACCTGTAGCCCTCAATTGTGGCATATTTGTGTACTCGAGAGCTGGTGAACTATACCGGGGCACACTGCCCATGGGGTATGGCTTCTCACCTGCCTGACCTGGCATTACAGAGACATGTTCTGGGTAGGAGAGATCCCGCACTTTTTGTTGCATAGATTCGATCCCCAAGTCTCCCAGTCCTTCCCGTCCCTGTATGTGGGGGTGTCCCCCCCCCCCCGCGGCCATCTCCTTCCATCTTCTACTCTAGTTGGTTAGAAATTTGAGCAGTGTGTGTGTGTGTGTGTGTGTGTGCGTGTGCGTGTGCGTGTGCGTGTGCGTGTGCGTGTGCGTGTGCGTGTGCGTGTGCGTGTGCGTGTGTGTGTGTATTACATCACAATGATTAAATCAACAACATTACCTTGCAGCAGATTGAAGAAGAAAAGGACCTTGGAGTCAGAATCCACCAGTCATTAAAAGTTGCCCAAAAGGTAGAAACTTAAAAAAATTCCAACCAAACCCTGGGAATAGTAAAACCAACGTTTGACTTAAGGAAAAGAAAGTCTTTGTTCAACTGTACAAATCTCTGGTGTTTCGCCATCTGTAATACAGTTTAAGATTCTGATAACGACAATGTCTACTTGCTATAATGTTATTATGGCATGTAATTAATGTACTGTAATATTATATAAACTTTCTTAATTATAAATGTACAACCATTTAGGGAATAAAGCTTCTGATTTGACTGTGGTGACAGGTCCGTCGACAGCGCCATCTATTGATTGAGGGCAAAACCAGAAAGTGGCCACGTGACGCAGATCATCACACAGTTTCTTTACCGCTTACTTTAATTGTTGTCCTCGCTGGTGGTCAGCGTTGGTCTGTACACTTCTTCCCGAGAGTACAGTGGAGACACTTGTTGGAGCTCTCTGCCCCTCGCTCATCCTTAGGCTTTTATTCTCCAGCAACCGTTGGAATCCTATTTTAACATGTGTATTTTAGTCCTTCGTAATGGTAAGTTGTTGCTGCTGATATTTATACAAGATGTATGATGTGCTGGGTACAATATACTTCAGTTAACTAGTCGTCAGCCTACGGGTGTTTGGTACAGCTGTACTTGTGAAGTGTTTTTTTTTTTCCTTGGACATAAATTTTTAATGTAATTACCAAAATATTAATTAAAATATTCAAACTATGCAGCTTAGGTAAATTTTGATGGTAAATTTAAAAGCTAGTGTCTATGCGTATAGACTTGGTGCAGTATGAGGGCGCGATTGTTTGGCAGGATAATTAACTGATATTAAAAAAAACTAGGTAGCCTAATCGTGTTTTAAAAAATGATACGAAGACTTTATTCCTAATTTCATATAAATCACAACTGTAACCTGTAATTTTTATTTTACAGAATTGTCCTTGACGGGTGTTCGTGGACGCCTGGAAAGTGATAAACAAAACGTCTTGAAAAGAGAATTATTAACATATCAAGAGTCTTTAGGATTATTAGAACCACGACAGCTACTCCAAACCAATGAATATTTTAAATATAAGAGAAGTACAGGATTAAGTCTTGAACAGACTAGAGATAAAGGGAATATTGCAAAGCATTCCCTACGGACGCAAATTAATGTTGAGAATCGACATTTCACGATAAAGAATAACCTGAATAAAATGGTTCTTGCAGATAATTGCGACAACAAAGATATGATGGAAAGTGGCCTGAAGACACGCTACGAGTACCAAAGTGAACCAGTTCACAAAACCTGGAAAAACGGTGACCAGGTTTGGCAGGATGCAGAATCGATGTCGTCTCAGAACGACGCGTCTAGGTGTTGGCTGGAGTCCGTTTCAGGCCTCGACCCTGACGACTGGCATGATGCTGACGAAGACGCGTACGGTGAAGTTGAAGTGCGTGATAGTTTGGTTCCTGGACAGAACACGAGCACTAATGTGCTGTTAGATGCTGAAGCCTCCGGTGCTGGTGCCACTGGTGCCTCTGGTGGTGGTGCTGGGGCCTCCGGTGCTGAGGCCTCCGGTGCTGGGGCCACTGGTGCTGGAGCCTCCGGTGGCGGTACTGGTGCCACTGGTGCCTCCGGTGGTGGTGCTGGGGCCTGGTGGTGGTGCTGGGGATTCTGGAGCTTCAGGGGGCGATGCCGGGCGTGGTACTGGAACCTCTACAGGCGCCGGGGCCCCTGGCGCCGGGGAGGCTGGCGCCGGGGCCCCTGGCGCCGGGGAGGCTGGCGCCGGGGCCCCTGGAGCCGGGGAGGCTGGCGCCGGGGCCCCTGGAGCCGGGGAGGCTGGCGCCGGGGCCCCTGGAGCCGGGGAGGCTGGCGCCGGGGCCCCTGGAGCCGGGGAGGCTGGCGCCGGGGCCCCTGGAGCCGGGGAGGCTGGCGCCGGGGCCCCTGGAGCCGGGGAGGCTGGCGCCGGGGCCCCTGGAGCCGGGGAGGCTGGCGCCGGGGCCCCTGGAGCCTGGGGAGGCTGGCGCCGGGGCCCCTGGAGCCGGGGAGGCTGGCGCCGGGGCCCCTGGAGCTGGGGAGGCTGGCGCCGGGGCCCCTGGAGCCGGGGAGGCTGGCGCCGGGGCCCCTGGAGCCGGGGAGGCTGGCGCCGGGGCCCCCGGGGAGGCTGGCGCCGGGGCCCCTGGAGCCGGGGAGGCTGGCGCCGGGGCCCCTGGAGCCGGGGGGCGCCGGGGCCCCTGGAGCCGGGGAGGCTGGCGCCGGGGCCCCTGGAGCCGGGGAGGCTGGCGCCGGGGCCCCTGGAGCCGGGGAGGCTGGCGCCGGGGCCCCTGGAGCCGGGGAGGCTGGCGCCGGGGCCCCTGGAGCCGGGGAGGCTGGCGCCGGGGCCCCTGGAGCCGGGGAGGCTGGCGCCGGGGCCCCTGGAGCCGGGGAGGCTGGCGCCGGGGCCCCTGGAGCCGGGGAGGCTGGCGCCGGGGCCCCTGGAGCCGGGGAGGCTGGCGCCGGGGCCCCTGGAGCCGGGGAGGCTGGCGACGGGGCCCCTGGAGCCGGGGAGGCTGGCGCCGGGGCCCCTGGCGCCGGGGAGGCTGGCGCCGGGGAGGCTGGCATAATTGCAAAGGTTACAAGCCGTGCAAAGAAGGCGGATAACACAGCTGCCTTGCAAAAGCAGGAAGAAACTGTGTCGACGAAGTCTGGAGAGTCTAATAGACGCAAGTGTGGTCGTAAGCGACGAGATCGGCACCAGACTGTGGACGCCGCAGGGGCTGTGGACGCCGCAGGGGCTGTGGACGCCGCAGGGCCTTTGGCCAGAGGTGGGCACCCTGCCGGTCCTCTGACCAGAGCTCGGCACCCCTGTGTTCCCCTGATGACAAGATCTGCGAATGTTTCTGCAGTTAACAGCGGTCGGAGCGATGCTTCTCGGTCCTATACACCTCGACAAATAGATTTAGTTGAAGGAATTACTAGACGACCTTTATCTATAATCAGAAGTCTCTTGAGTGAGCGTTTGGGGGCAGCAGAGCGTCAAAATGGGCCCGCCACGAGGCCTTGGGGCAGGCAGCGGCACCCCGCCGGTCCTGTGGTCGCAGATAGACTCCCGTTTGTTCCCCTGAGACCAGGCGTCTTAACTTACTTTCCAACTAACAGAGGTCGGATCGGTACCTCTCGGACCTTTAGACCTTTACAAATAACAGATTATCATATTGAGATAGTTGTTGTATTATATTTCACTAGAAACATTTTACTCCACAATGCTGAGGCTCCGATTCTCGTCGTACGGCAAGCGGCTACACCTTCTCGAGCCAGTAACTTGTTACCCATTCGGCAAAGTCGTTGGCACTTGCCCCTCCTCTTGTTGATTCTGTTACTTGGAGATGCATCGTTAATTCAATCCCAAGATGATTCGGACTCCAGTGTAGATTAGAGGCCAAAGAAAGTGAACTGTGCTAGATGGCATAAACGGGGATCTTACTGTGGCTAAAGCAGGTTCTTAAAAACTGCTGAAGTGCAAGAAAAGGTAAGATACTGTACAGTGAATTTTTAATTATTGAAGGTCACGATGTTTTGGAAGAAATATTCTTTTATAGAATTAAGAATTGTGTAAAGTTCTTAACTAGGGCACACGTATTACAATAATTTGTGTTAGGCCAGGTAGTATACCTTTTGTAAAGTGGTTTTTTTTTTTTTTTTTTTTTTTTTTTTTTTTTTTTTTTTTTTTTTTTTTTTTTTTTTTTTTTTTTTTTTTTTTTTTTTTTTTTTAAATTTGCTAGTTTAGATTGCCTACTGTATTTTAAGTGGAAATATTGACTTTGACGAGAATTGAAGTGTGATAAATGTGGTTTGTTGTATTCATGGGGGGGGGGGGGGGGTACTCTGGATTTTGCCTAAGTGTTTATTATTCTATGTATTATTCTACTTATTTTTTTCTCGTCAGGTTTGTCCCTCCTGAGCAATGACTTGCCAAACTACAAAAGCTTGACTAGTGGTGCTAGATAATTTCACTGGAAACTGCTGGTATAATAGACGGCCAAGTACCTGCCATCGGTTCTTGGGACTTGTAAGTATTCTTGGTGGCAACTGTTTCTTACTAGATTGAATGCTGCTTTGTGGTGAAACAATTCTTGGTCTGGGCTATTTTGGCTCTAGCTTCTTGTCCGAAAATAACTTTTGGTACGAAAGTTTTAACTTCGGTCCACTTGGCTATAAACTTCTTGACTATAAGAATATTATAGTAAAGAGGGAGGCTTATTTTCTTCGGACCAAATAATTTATATAACTAATTGGTCTGTATTGGATTAACTCATAACTGCAACTTTGGTGACCCCATATATTTAGGAAATAGAGGTGCCTGGGTCTTAAGATATTCTCGGGCTTCTCCTGTTCAGTTATTTACCAGAGGGCCACTTACCTTAATGGCCTCTACGAGGACAGGAAGCCGGCAGCTTGTCAAAGGTCCCCCTCCATTTGCCTTTTATCTTTTCCAGGTTTATATTGAAATTCGGTAGTTCTGACACATCTTAATTTATGTAATTATATTAAAACGAAAGTGAACTTCTTACTGGGGTCTTAACAATTGTTTAGAACTAGAACTTTAGTAAATTGTGATCTTCCACACACTTCCTGCAGGGGAGGGGGGGGGGGTGTATACTGGTTAACAAATTAAGACTTTTATAGCATATCGGTGAATTGGTTGAAAATAAGGGAATTTACTAATGAATTTAATGCTAAAACTACTTGTACGGTAGAAAAACATATCACTTAACGAAATTACTAATGTTCGACCACAAGCCTACTTACTACTAAAAGAACAAATTGGCTTTTTAAAGGAGTTACTTAAATTTGCTGTGCGAATTAATTTAATTCCCGGGATATTGTGGAATGTCCAGGGAATCCCCCCCCCCCCCCCCCCGGAATAAGAAAGGTGTCTTATTCAGACATCTACGCGGTCATTCATTTATGAGTCCTTACCCGTTGGCAGGGTCGTTGGGCACTTGTTGCTGGTAACACACTGGTGTACTTTAGTGTCCCCTTGACCTTCCTCCCACCACCGTAACCGGCGGTGAGAAACAGCTCTGGCGAGGTTACGTATTGCCCATATGGTTTAACTCTGGCACCTAATGAAGCGGCGTTGTTTTAGATTCGTAAACTCTTTGGGGAGGGAATTTTAAGTAGCATGGGTTATGTTGACACGGTAGTGGACTTGACTGGCACGAGGGCAGAGCTATTACTTTAATGGAGCGCCGCCCTGCTCCTTATCGTTCAAACTGTATTGTCCTTCTTACGGTCGTGCATATCCTTGTCGAATGTCCTGACTTCCAGGATGACCGTGTCTTGCCTCCAGACTGTCCCTCGCGGTCACCTGTCCAACGGATCCTTGGTGACAGATTCCTTTCATGTTCACCTTGTACGCTTTTGTTCTCGTATTGGCATTCTTAATGGTATTTATTTCAATATCCCACACATTTGATGGTTCTACATAGCCTCTCTGGCTTGGTGCCTTTTGATAATTACCATGTACTCCAAATATGCCCCAGGTCGGTAAACGGAAGTAAACTCTATCAGATACTTTTATGTAGTAGTTAACGTTAAATTTTAAAGTGATAACGTGTTGAACACCCCTTTCCCCTCAACAGTGGACACCTACCTTTTAACACTAAAACTTCCCAATCACTAAATCTTTTGTCGTTTAAAGTCATTCATATTACTCTGTTTCAGCGTGTAATTCTGGCAGTTTGTGGGGAACCAGATGCTGCGAGACCTTCAGGTGGCCAAGGTCTACAAAAGTCTGTGGCACTGGTGAACGTGATGCCTGTCAAGACGGATTTTCTTGGTTTGGAGGAGACGGGAACTTGGTATAAACACGGCTAGCTCAAAGATTTTGAGCTAGACACCATAGTCAGTGTCAAAACTGTTTCAAACTTTGTAGGATCTCTAGTAAGAGGAAAGCTTAAATAGAAAACTAGATTTTAATTGAGCTCGCGCATAGCATTTTATTGTGAAGTGAACCAAAAGTAGGATTCGGATTAGATTTTATTATATAATATATATCTAATTATATATATATCGCCCTTGTAGATCTTTTTAAGTGTTGGCGCGGTGGGACATTAGGAAAGTAGCTAGATAGAGGCAGTTTATATTGAATTAAACCCTCCTTATTCTAGCCTAAGGCGTGGAGGAAGTTAAACTCGTCCCTCGCTCCCACAGGTCTTTTTAATTTTTTGTATCTTTAGAGCATCTTTAGTATACATTAATCTGTCACTTGTGGGGTCTTGACATTTTGCCCAAATGCATGAGGCGTACAGCGGCTCAACTGTACAAATTGACTGGTTAAGTGGGCATTACGGAAATTTACTGTCCTTGCAACGTTCATACTTTAAATACAGAAAGCTATTCATGGAAAAAATAAATTCCCACTAAATTGTAATTGTGCAATAGTAGTGACGGCTCAAATTTTTTCCTTGCTAATCGTATATTTTAAATTCAAGATATTAATTACCTTTTTAACTAAATTATTTGGATCTAATTAGTCTTTTTAACCGCACTATAGTTTAGTGCAAGTTTCCTGCCACTTAAGTGATGTACAAACCCTGGCAGTTAACATTAAGGAACTAGTAGATTCCTGCCATGTTAATCAATCATTAGCCTCTAGAGTGTCTCCAGGGTTCCTTAGGAGCAGAAAATGTTTCTTGCGTAGATTGTCATGTTAATGTCATGGTTTAGAAGGCCTTGTAAGATTAGCTTTAATTGCTACACACTGCTGGCTGGTATTGTGTAGATATAATTTTAATTAGAATGTAATCATAGGCTGTTTGTAGCGTAGCCAGCAGGCCTGGAAATGTTTCACTTAAATTCTTCGTCTAGATTTAAGTATAACATCAAATTAATACTTGTTCAATCATTGGGAAGACTACTCGATTACTCTTCCGTGCTCAATGCTGGAAGATACTGTATTTAAGAATATTCAAATATGTCGGCTGGATTTGACAATGAACATAGAGTATATGTGCAAATCTGTAGGGGGGGGGGGGGGGTATTAATTTACTAAGTAGACTAATGTGACGTGTTTAATTTGGAAATTTTGCCATTATTTTATTTTTTACTTGACTATATTGGTAGAGTAAATTCTCTTGTGCTGGTTTTAATTTTTTTTTACATTAAATTTTAATGTTGCATATGAGCGCCTTGAGTTGCTCTACCAATCACCTTGTACACAAATGTATAAGGAAAGTGCTAGAACATTATCTAGACTTTCCCACACTTGGAAATAAAGTAGTTAAAAGAATGATTGTTTATTTGACAAGTTGTTAAACATTATGACTGTGCCATTCGCATCCGAGCGGCTTTATATTATATATATTATAATCGTGATATCTATATATGCTATATAGATGTCACGTCTGTGACGGTGAAAAATATGCTATTTTTTTAAACTGTGTTTTCATGTGAGGGAAATCTTCGAAACCTCTTTACCGATTGCTTTGTAATTTTGACACAACGTTCCATTCGAATACATAAATATTTTTTATATACCTAAAATATAGATGCCACACTTGTGGCGGGTAAAAACTCTTGTTTTGAAAACGGCGCCATCTGTTGCACGTAAGAACACACTATATTAAATATTAAGATTCCATTTCAATGTTCCAGTTTTTATTGACATTAAATTTCAATTTGGACTTATTTTCATCTTGATTTAATTATTCTGTATGAAACTATTAGAATTGATCTGTGTTGTTTACCATAACGTTCATTTCGTGAGTATAGCTATTATTTTAGTTTAACTGTTTCTAATATTTGAGTGATGGGAACATCAGACCGTGTGATGTTCCCAATTTTCTGATGATCTCTTGAGAATGAATCGGACGAGGGAGTGGGGAGTGGTGGGGAAGACGATGGGACAGAAGGGGTAATGGTGGGGGTAGGGGGGGGGACAGGAGCGTGGGGGAGAAGAGGGAATTTCAGGGAGTTAGAGATGACTGGGAAATGGTGGGGAGGACGAGGGGATGGTAGAGTGGGGGGGGGGGAAGTGAGGAATGATTGGAAGGACGAGGGGAGTGGTGGGGAGGACTGGGAGACCTGGGGAAAGGTTCCTGTGACTCGGCAAGGCATATGCATTGCTGAGCCACAGCAACGCGTAGCCGGGTACAACTAGTTATGAATAAAGTACTTGAACATTTCTTGGATTCCACTGATAGTTTTATTTCTGAATCTCGCAATTTTTTCCACTTATATAATGACGCATAATATGCGAATAGTTCTGCTGACAATTTAAATTTTTAGTCGGATCTACATCAGCAGATGTTTAACTCCCAGAGGTACTTGTAGCCGAGCCTAAGCCTAGCGGTGGTAACGTCTAGAAATTTACTAACCTTATTGGATGACCCATAGACGTGTGGTTTTTCCTGCATAATAGAATAATAGATGGAGGAACTGGTGGGAATTTCACTTTGCCTCAAGTCTACAAGATTTTGTTGATATTCCCGGAATATTATTGCCCTCAGTGGGCCACTGATCATGGCTTCAAGTTCTCTACTTCTAAGACTTGTGCCATGACATTTACGCGGAAACGGGTTGTTCTTCGTCCCTCTTTGTCACTTTATGGTCATCCCCTTGAATACAAAGATTCCGCGAAGCTTTTGGGGTTATTCCTTGACACTCGTTTGTCTTGGTCTCCCCATATCTCTTACCTCCGTGTTGAGTGCTCTAAGGCCCTTACCCTCCTTCGGGTCTTGTCCCATACTTCTTGGGGGGCAGATAGGCGCACTCTCCTTGCTTTACATTCCTCTCTCGTCCTGTCTAAGCTCGATTATGGTTGCCCTGCTTACTCGTCTGCTTCTCCTTCTACTCTTCGCCGTCTTGATGCTTTGCACCATACTGGGTTGCGCCTCAGTTCTGGTGCCTTTCGTTCGACTCCCATCCTTAGCTTGTATGTTGACACTGGCTTCCTGTCTCTCCAGGACCGCCGTGATCGCTACTGTCTTCGCTATCTTGCGCGGTCCTTACTACTCAAAGGCGGCCCAAGATGGTAATCAATTCCCTCTTTGAGCTAAAGTCTTGGCCAACTCATCAGTTCTATCATGCCTTCGGAGATCAAAATGGGAACGAATCCACAAGACAAACTGACTCCATCATTGTGTCTAGCTTTAGAGATAAGCACGTCACAGTTATGCCTTGGGAAGCTGAGGACAGTCAAGGATGACGAGGAGTCGCTTACAATTGGCGTGTCAACTTTGGATTCATATACGCGCGCAGTTACACTAAAAACTCGTAAAATACAGCGGGTCAATAATGGCCGATAACTACATTATCTTCATTGACAATTTATTACAATTTTGCCTAAGCTGAAGATTTTGATAGTCTTATTAAAGTGAGGATAATGCTGGTATTCACTGTCACGCAGGACAGAGGGTCATACATAAGACAATAGGTCTAAACTGTAGGCTGAAGCACATATATATCATGGTTACAATCAATGTTTTAATGTATGGATATGTGAAAACAACTTTTTACTGTGCACTGCCACACAAGGGCAGGGATGGGTTCATAAGTGATGCAGCTTAGAAGTAATAAAAATTGTTCTTCATTCTTTAAAATGGACAAGCAAATTTTGGATAAATTGTTAGGATGTCGTCCAGAACACCTGAGTCAATAAAATAGTTACACAGTTGGTGATACAAGAGGCCAGGAGGTCTAAAGTCCTTTACGGTTTCACATTCATCAATATAGTGTTCTAGTGAATGCATTAATGGTTTATCACAGTGTTTACAATCTGAGTATTCTGGTAGTGGCTCAGCCTCACTAACCTGCCAGATGTGTCTATAGCCAAGGCGAATTCGCGCAATGACTACATCACATTGCCCGGTCCGGTTACTGTGCTGACCATACAAATACCTATTATTACAAAACTTGTCATAACTTTTAATACTGCAGCTTTCAGGTCTCTGGGCATTTCTTAGTTCTTCTAAATCTGAATTAATTTCTTTAATTTGTATGTTTCTAATAATTGCATTAGATAGTCCAAAGTCATAATCAATGTTTTCTTTCCTGCAAGCCTCATTGGCGAATCGATCTACAAAGTCATGTTTTCCAACTCCAACATGGGATGGGATCCACACAAATTTTATACAAGAGTTATTATCATTGGCAAAAATTACATTCCATTTAATATTACAAGCTACTTCCGACATACATTGTGATGGGTTATTTAAGGACTGCAGAGTACTTTTAGTCACAGAAAATACCATAACCACCATTGAGCTTAAGCTATTCAGTGGGCTAGATAAATGCCCAATAGCTCGGTCTGTGTCGTGCTTGCCCAGTTGTTCAATCTATGTGTACTAGATATGATCATTTCATTCCCTTTATACACTGCACATGCACAACCTGTTCTACCAGTGCCTAACTGCACAGAGCCATCATTAAAGGCATAGGATTCAGTCGGTTTGAGAATTTGAAGATGACTGTCAATAGCTTCTAATGTTATACATCTCAAAATGTCAGTGTTATACATTTGTTTTACACTGATGGGAGTATAATGCAGAGAGACCTCCACATCTTTCCAAGGGGGAATATAGTGAACAGTTTTATCAGGGTTAAGAGACACATTCAGTTTCAGAAGATTATAGGCACAACAACTGAGCCACACACTGTAGGGAGCTTTTTGCGGCGGATTGAGGGAACAGTCAGAATTGTTTAGAATGGATCTCAATTTAATTTGAATAGAGCTGGGGGCACCATTATTTTTCAAAGTTTTGGCGCATAACATAGTACTAAGTAGAACTATTCTTTCGTAAATGGAAGGTAAGTTTAGTTCCTTTCTCATGTTAACAATTCTGACAGTTCTAAGACAACCCAAGGTGATGCGCATGGCATCATTCTGTACTACATCGATGCTTTGTAATTGTTTAGGAGAAAAATTAAGAAGATGCAAGGCATAATAATCAACAACAGATCGTATAAAGGCAATATAAAAACTACGAGCATATTTTATGTTAATGCCAAATCCTTTACCCACAAGAGTTTTGAGAGGTTTAAGACGCTCAACTAGTTTTTTACGCAGGTTGCTGATGAGATTTGTATCATTAACCTCAACTCCAAGATATTTATAAGACTCACAAGTCTCCACGGACACTCCATTAATAGTATAGTTAACATGAAGAGAATGGGGAATAAGAACCCTTGTCTTATCAACAGAGATTATGAGGCCACATTCTACTACTTTCTTGGAGAATGCATCAAGTAACACTTGTAACCTTGGTTTACTGTGTGCCATAATACAAATATCATCAGCATAACATATAACAGTTTCCGTAGGTTGTACAGGTATGTCATGGATAAGTTTGTGCTGAAGTATATTGAAGAACATAGGGCTTAGGACACCACCTTGAGGTGTGCCTAGTTCGAATGCATCTGTTCTTGTACTTTTAACTCCTTTAAATAGGACACTAGCACGCCTGTTGGATAGGTAGCTCTTTATCCAACTCAGAAGATTACCTTTGATTACAAATTCAGCAAGTTGCTCTAATATTATTTCGCCATTCGCTACATCGAAAGCTGACTTTAGGTCAATAAAGGCTGCCTGTGTCCCATCCTGGGAGTTTACAAAATATTCAGCAAAGCATGTTTGTGTGCTACACTTGGGCATGAACCCATATAGGTTTGGGGCCAGTTTTTCTTTGACCTGAAACATGACACGATTGAGAACAATTCTCTCCAAGACTTTACACATGCAAGATGTAAGGGAAATGGGTCTGAATTTTTGAGAGTTAGGTTTAGGAATTGGTATTATGAGACTTTGTGTCCATTTCTTTGGCAAGATACCTTGTGAGAGACTCATTTGATAGAGGTCAAGCAGAGGGTGGCTAGGGACATCATTCAGTAAGCTCAAGATGTTATAAGTTATACCATCCTCACCAGGGGCAGTTTGTTTAGGTTTACCTAATGCTGATGTTAATTCAAAGGGGGTTATAGCAAACTGATCTGTTAAAGCTGGTGAGGAGCGTGCTATTTCAATATTAAAGTTTCTGTTAATGTTGGTATGTCTTAAATGCTGCTGTATATCTGGGGGTAAGGAAGAAATTTGTGAGACACTAGACCATTGAGCTAGGAGCATGTCAGCATATTCTGCAGGAGTATGATGAAGCTGAACTGGGGCTGAAGGTTTGGTAATGTTTTTAATTTTGTTCCACATTTCTGATAATGTTGTAGTTCTATTGATACCTTGTAGGAATTGTTCCCAATATGTGTTCTTAACCTGACCCTTAAGCTCGCGAAAATCTCTGTTGGCATTAAGGAATGGTAGTAAATTGTCAGCTGTTTTGTCTCGTTTATAAGAGTCAGCTGAAGCACTTTAGCTCTGCAATAATAATAGGATCCTCTGTCCATCAGGAAGAACGAGTGTTCTTTTTTTTTTCCTTGATTTAACCCAGGTATCATAATAACTGGTAATGATACTGACAAGATCATTGTAAAAGTGGTCCACTGATACAGGTGTATACCCAGTGTACCACTTATGTACATAAGCCTTAAAGTGCTGTTTAAGATTGTCTGGAATGTTAATTTTAACTCTAGGATGAGGATTGGACTTAATATCCGCCACATTGTATTCACAATATATTGCAAGATGATCACTTACTAGTTCTGGGATGAGCTTAACGTTGACGTTGCTATCTACTAGGCTGCTATCTACTAGGCTGTATCCAATCACATAATCCAGTCTACCCCCTTATCAGGATCAGGTATTTCAAGAAGACCCTTCCATTATTGTTACACAGACCGTCACCAAGAGCAGTGTGACGAGCATTAAAGTCACCCATACATAACATAGCTGTGTTACCTGTAGGTTACGGTAGCAGGTCTGCTTTAAGTACACTACATCGTCCATATATGTTATACAGTAGGAAATTGCTATTTGCTGTTGGTAATTTGAATTTTTGATAATGTATACTATCACTCCTATGATTTTTAATTAGTTTACAGATTAATCCACTCTTAATATACGTGAGTAGACCAGTTCCAATACTGTTGTTGTATGCTATATACCCAGGTATCCTGGGTGGGACCATCTTGATAGTTGTAGACATATATGGTTCCTGTAAACACATCACATCCACGTCTCTCATTCTATACAGTTTAAGGTTCTGATAACGACAATGTCTACTTGCTATAATGTTATTATGGCATGTAATTAATGTACTGTAATATTATATAAACTTTCTTAATTATAAATGTACAACCATTTAGGGAATAAAGCTTCTGATTTGACTGTGGTGACAGGTCCGTCGACAGCGCCATCTATTGATTGAGGGCAAAAACAGAAAGTGGCCACGTGACGCAGATCATCACACAGTTTCTTTACCGCTTACTTTAATTGTTGTCCTCGCTGGTGGTCAGCGTTGGTCTGTACACTTCTTCCCGAGAGTACAGTGGAGACACTTGTTGGAGCTCTCTGCCCCTCGCTCATCCTTAGGCTTTTATTCTCCAGCAACCGTTGGAATCCTATTTTAACATGTGTATTTTAGTCCTTCGTAATGGTGAGTTGCTGCTGCTGATATTTATACAAGAGGTATGATGTGCTGGGTACAATATACTTCAGTTAACTAGTCGTTACCCTAAGTGTTGGGTACAAATGTACTTGTTAATGGTTTTTCTTGATGATATATCTTGGCAATTACAAACAAATGTGCTAAATAATCATGGCAGCATATTGGGTAACTCGGCTACTATGAGCATACTTGAAGAGTCAAACGTTCATTCGACTCCGTCGCTAAACGCCCTATTTGTGTCTTCAAAGTCATAAAGTTTGAATCGTCTCGGTGATTTAATGTGATTCGGATAGCAGTTCTGTACATGCTTCACATAAAACAAAGAACTAGTTTCAACCGGAACGAATGAGACCTACGTCCAAATATGCATAAAGATTTTAAACTTTGAGAATTCCTATTTAACATGAACATCTTAAAGTTGATTAGTTTGTGGTCGGCAGCTGCATAGAATGACTGTTGGCTGAGAACTGGTACCCCGTTTAACGAAACATTCTAGATATTAGACTAATATGGTTTACTTGGTAGTTGCATAAAATGGTGGGCAAATGTAGTACTTCAAGGTTATCATTAGGAGAGTTGCGGGAACTTTACAACATTTGAATAAAAAAGTTAGTTTAACTGACAATTTTGGTAAATTAAATAGAATGTTAGTGCTACTTAATGTATAGGTTAAGGGAGCAGCTTAAAGAATCCTGACTGACTTTAAGTAGCTTTAATCCCGTTAAAAGAATACACTAAGATGCCGTATTATTACTGACATAAATAATTTTCTTATTTTTACAGAATCTTCAAAGAGTCTTGTTGGAGACCTGCACAATAAATTTCAAAATATTACGAAGAAAAAAGCGTTATTGGCATTGAGAGAATCTCAAACACTTCAGTCACTAAAATTGTTAGTATTAGGACGGCGCCTCCAAACTGAAGATCCTAAAATTGAGGAAATTACTAGTTTTAATCGTCATGGACAGATGGGCCTGCAAGACTGGAATATTTACGAGAATTACGTAAGAACGGAAAATGATAAAGTTGAGTGCGGATACTACGAGGGAAAAGATTCCTCAAATTTAATGGGTCTTGCAGATACTTGCTCAGATTATAAAGTGTGTTTATCAAGTTATGTTTATGAAAGTAGTTTACTAGGTCACCAAGATGGTGACCTCGAGGATATAAATGGCCTGGAGAGACGATACGAACGCCCGAGTGAGCCAGTACTTGACAAAACCTGGAAAAACTACCAAGTTTGGCAGGATGCAGAATCGATGTCTCGGAACGACGCGTCTAAGTATCGGCTGGAGACTGTTTCGGGCCTCGACCCTGACGACTGGCATGATGCTGACGAAGACAAGTTCGGAGAAGTTGAAGTGCGTGATGGTTTGATGCCTGGACAGAACACGAGCACTGTGCTGTTAGATACTGGTGCCTCCGGTGCTAGACGCAGTGCCGGCGACTCTGAGGGCGGTGCTGGGCGCGGTGGTCGTGGTGCTAGACGACGACGACAACGTCGTCGTCGTGGTGGTCGTCGTGGCGGTGCCGGGGGCGGCGACGGGGGTGCCGGGGGCGGAGATGGTGGCGGCGACGGGGGTGCCGGGGGCGGCGACGGGGGTGCCGGGGGCGGAGATGGTGGCGGCGACGGGGGTGCCGGGGGCGGCGACGGGGGTGCCGGGGGCGGCGATGGTGGCGGCGACGGTGGTGCCGGGGGCGGCGATGGTGGCGGCGACGGGGGTGCCGGGGGCGGCGACGGGGGTGCCGGGGGCGGAGATGGTGGGGGTGCCGGGGCCGGCGACTGGGGTGCCGGCGACTGGGGTGCCGGCGACTGGGGTGCCGGCGACTGGGGTGCCGGCGACTGGGGTGGCGGCGACGGGGGTGCCGGGGGCGGCGACGGGGGTGCCACCGGGCCAGTGCAAAAACGTGGCTCCCGTTCAAAGGGGCCTAAAAAGACTCCATTACAAAAGCCCAAAGAAACGCTCCCACCTATGTCGGCCAAATCTAAAAAGAAAAGATCGAAGCTTAGGAAAAACTCTAGTCAAAGCGGTGAGGGTGTCCTTCCTGAAGATGGAAGAGGTTTTTATTATTTCTGTTCTGACGTTCCAGTGACTGTCAAATGTAGGCTTGGTCCAAATGAACGTGAGACCCTAGAACTCCCTCCATCTGAGGCTGTAATTCAACGCTTCAAAGATGCCTTGGAAGAGGCTAAAATTAAGGCTTCTATCGTGACAGGACCGGGCAGGGTTCCCAACATGGCTAAACATATACCTACCCTTCCACAATTACTTCAGGATCCAGCTCCATCCAGAACTGTAACATCTCCCCATTCATCTCGGTCAACAGATGAATCCGCGTTCACTAAATCACCACGGCGGGGAGCGCGCGGCTCTAAAGAAAAATTAGGTTCTCAAGAGGGTACCCGTAAGCGAAATTGTACTATCGTAGATTGCCATCGTAATCTTATTGACCGGACCAGAGAATTGCGTAGTAGAAACGCGAGTAAGTCTACTTCTCCAAGGTATCGTTCTACCCAAGAGGCTTCTGGTCTCTCCCCACCTGAGCACGTCAACAAATCTGCTCCTCCAATGATTACACTGCCCATTTCTGCCCTGAAGGATCTGGGAATCTCTCTACCTTCGCGCACCAAGGATTCTCTTTCAGTGCCATTGCCAACTGTTCCCCAAGAGGACTCGGATTCTTCTAGTATAGATGGTGATAACTGACGAGGCCACAGCCAGACATGAACTTTATCCTAGATGGAATAAACGTCCATCTTACTGCGGCTTGAGCGGGTTCTTAAGACGGCTGAAATGAGAGGTAAGATACTATACAGTGAAGTTTAAATTATTGAAGGATAAGTTTGAAGATTTTCTTGCATAAAATTCTAATTTCATAAGTTACTAGGGCATATCAAACTTGATTGACACTTGTTTGAAAATTAGAATTTATAAAGTTTTTAAAGAATGCCTGTCGGGCAGAGTAGTTAGTAAGCAATTTAGTTACTTTGACCAATTGGCCACTTAAATTCCCATCTTAAATATGGGCTGTACCAGGATTTGAAATAACGTGTAAATATTCAAAATTAGATGGGGTTTTCTATTGTGGGGAATTTTTTAAGAATTGCTTTTAATTTTTTTAATTTTCAGGTATCCTCGTTTGCCCGAACAATAAAAACTGCTACAAAAGCTTTAATAGTGATGTGCTGGATAATTTCGCTGGGCATAATAGACGCGCTGGTATAATAGACGGCCAAGTACCTGCCATCAGTTCTTGACACGTAAGTATGTTCTTGATGGCAACTGTTTCTAACTAGATTATATACCGCCTTCTGCTGAAACAAATCTTGGTCTTGGCAATCTTAACTAGATTCTCTTATTTTGGACAACTTTCGTACCAAGAGTTGTAACTTCTGTCCATTTAGCTATAAATTTCTTTACCCAAAATATCTTCATTAGGGAGAAAGGGTTATTTAAATTGACCAAAACCCCACACTTAGAAAGTGAAGAGACGTTTCGGTCCGCCTTGGACCATTCTCGAGTAAAATTAAAATTTGTTTACCGAAAATGCACTTTATAACATTGGTCAATAATGGAGGACCAACAAACTCTTATAATTACAATTATTAAATAACCTGCGATCCCGGGTAGACCATGTTTCCTAGCCTCTCGTGCAGAGTTATGTTGGGTAAATATGCATAGGACTCGTGTTAGAAGGGCAGAATGGTCATCGTTTGGGTCAACACACTCGCCTTCCTGCACAAGTCTGCATTCAGCCACTCCTGTTGCTCCTGTTAGGCGATATACCGTGGCTCCGGGACCCAAACAATATAGGATAAACGAAACTACTTCGTAACGACAGGCTCGTGGGACTGGGCGACAAGGTACTAAAGGTAACGCTGTAGCCTCGTCCACGTTGGGCCGGGACCAGGCTTCATATTCGACTACCCCGAACAGATTGTTCCCTCGAGACTTCTTCAGCAGGATTGTCAGTGGTGACTAGTCAATCACCTAGCGTGTTCACAATCTTTCCTTGTGACAACGATGATGCAAAAAAATCGGGAGGGAAATAAAACGCGGAAAATTCGCTATCACTTAAAGACGATCTAAATAGGGTTTTGTAATGGTCAAAAGTTCGGCAGATGCAGTTCAATGCTGACAAATGTAAGGTTTTAAGGTAATGTACTTGCAAGATTAGAGCTAGGTGTTTGCGGAGTCGGATTGAGAAAGGGATCTGAGTTAAGAATTTTAAAGCAAAAAAAAAAATAGATGCATGAATGTTTAATAAGGCAAATGACAAGTTTCAATTTTATTAATAAGTGTTAAAAGACGCTGGTTGTTTTTCAGCAATATCTTACTCTAGTTAGGCCCCGTTTAGATTATACAGTTCAGTTTTGGTCGCCGCACTATAGAATGGATATAAATCCACTAGAACGCGTAGTGTAGGATGCCAGTTAATCCCCTAAAATCGGAAACTTGTCATATGAAGGAAGATTGACAAAGCTTAAATTACATTCGTTGGAAAATCTAAGTTAGGGGTGTTAGCATCAACCGTATAGTCGATGCCGTCAGAGCTCACTGCTGTAAAACTGTAGAGGGACGTAGATAACTGGAATTCAGATGCAGAAATTCGTTATAGGAGAGAGAAATTCCGAGGGGGACAATGTTCAATAAGGGGTTTAAGTAGGAAGCCTAGTGAGTCTGTCATAAATGTTCATTGGTGTTTAGTCAACAAGGTGCTGCTGTAAATCAGGGAGGGTATATTAATCGTGACAGATGAACACTGGCCACGTAGCCAAACAAATCGTATAACACAAGTGTTTTGAAGGTATGAATAGTGCAGTGCCTAAAGTCATCCACCATAAATTCAAACTGTTACTAAAGTGTGCTTATCTCTGTGCAGTTTTCAGGACTTTATTTTTCCTCTAATTTATCCCTCGATGGAATGTTTAGTTAATGTGATACTTTGGATATATCTAATGTGCTCTTATCTTGAATTGTCATCCTCGATGATTTAGAGCTTTTAAATATCCTGCGACCCTGATGATGCCTAGTCTCCCAGACTTGGTGCTTTTTGATAATGTTTTCTTAATTCTTGTATTTGTTGTATTAAACAATTTAAGTCCCAGGTCCACAGAAGGTAAACTTGACTGGGTATATTGTAACTTGGTGGAGAGGGTTCTTTAGACCTAAATATGTTGAGTAACACTTGGGGGGGGGGGGGGGGGGGCTACCCTTTCAACAATAAGAAACTAAATCATATGTTCCTAGTTTAAATGCCACTAATCACAACTTGACTGTTTCAGCCTGTAACGTGGGCCGTCTGTGGGGGAACTGTTGCTGTGAGGCCTTCAGATGGTCACCGGGACTTACAGGAAAAGGTTTGCCAAGTCTGTGGCACCAGACAACGTGATGCCTGTCAAAACATGGTTTTCTTTTATGGTTGGTTTGGAGGCAAAATATATTAGCAGCTAACATGGTTAGCTCGGACGAGAAGCAATTGGGGAAACTAGTTAAGACACAATAGTCGGTTTTATCAACTTTAGTTTTAAACATTGTTGCAGGATCTCCAATAATGCCATATCACAAATGAAACTTTTAATTGAGCTCCAACAAATAATTTTATTTTATTGTGAACTGAACCCATAAGAGGGATAATTATAGTGATATTTTTAATAAGCCTCTTTGTCCCTCCACTCTTTGATCTCTTAGCGTTAGTGAGTGGAGGTGAAGGGAGGAATTAAGTGTACTGATAATTAAAGGCAATTGATAGGACTAGAGCAACTCCCCTAGTTCTAAGGCGAGGGGGGCGGGAGGGCAGTTAAGACTTTTGCCTTGTTCCCACGCGTCTGTGTTCACTTAGAACACTGTCTTCCTTAATCTGAGTCTAGTTTGTCGACTTTGCAAAACAGAGCAAAGAGCGTCTCTACTGTACACATTGGTTGGTTAAGTGGCCATTACGGAAATTAAGTTTTAAACTTTAGTATTTGCAACGTTCATGTATTAGTACAGCCTTGGACAAATCCGTTCCCACGTCATCGTGGAATTGAGCCATAGTGGTGGCAGCTCAAAGGTTTATCATATTTTAATCTTGCATTTTAAATTGCTAATTATTTGCATCTAACCAGTCTTTTTAAGCGTACTATAGCCTAGTGAAGGCTTCCTGCCTCATGATACAACGTGATGCACAGTCAGTTTCACATTAAGAACTAGTTGATGCTTGCTCTAAGATGTTGATTAGACATCAGTGGCCCCTTTATGGCCTCTTAAGGTTCCTTGTGAGCAGACAATGTCATTCTTGCGCTGATTATCATGTTAATGTCATGGTTTAGAAGACATTATACCTTTGTAATTGATGCCCATTGCTGGCTGGGATAGTGTAGACGAGGTAAATTAGAATGTAAACAGACTTTCTATAGCATTGACAACTGGCATGTAGCCTGCAGGTCTGTAAGTTTTTAACATGGACAGAATTTAGGTTTAAACAAAATTGAAATTGTTAAAGGTATGACTGAGAAGACTAATATCTAGTTTACTGATCGATGTTGGTAAATATTATACTAGTCAAATATATCGGCTCGACTTGTGGGAATGAATATTAGGTTAATTCTCTAGATGAAGTAATGTGAAATTTTTAAGAATTTGAAGGTTGTGCGGCTATTTAAACTATTTGGTGTTTTTTTTTTTTTACTTGGTAGAATAAACAGCATTAGATGCTGGTTCTTAACTTTTAAACAGTTTGTTACATATGAGCGCCTTGAAGTGCTCTGCCAATCACCTTCTACACAAATGTATTAGGGAAGTGCCAGAACATTATCTAGACTTTCCCACACTTGGAAATAAAGTGACTAAAAGAATGTTTGTTATTTGACATTGTTAAACATTGACTGTCATTACCACTAGTGGTCGAAGCCAGGACAGTGATCCCCCAAAATACACCAAATTTCAGAATATACCCCACTTTTACACAAATAGCAAGTGTGATATATCAAACAAATCCACAAGGGCCCCTGAGGGTTCGAACCTTCGCATTGAATATATCCCCTCACGCGCCCATGTCAACTACACCATGACAGTCAACAGAATTACAACCTGCAGTGCTACTGCAACCACGAAGAATCTAATAGCTTCTCCGAAGCCCAATCAGGGTTTAAAAAGATTCCATCATGCACTCAGGTTGTCAACTGTTGACAATGTCGTGGTACAGTTGACTAGGGCGCATCTGGGAATATTCCATGCGTAGGTTCGAACCCTTGAGGCCCTTGTGGATTTAATTTTAGACCCACTTGTTCACCCATGTAAGTTGTTAAACTCATAACAGACGGGGTCGATGATGACCGATAACTACAGGAACTCTACCTTTCCTAACCTTCACTGCTCTGCCTAGTCTCGTGGCGCATTGACGGTAAGATTGGCAGATTACATACAAATATACCCCCCCCCTAGATCACCAAGAACTCTGACCCGGCCAGGATTCTAACCCATGCCGTCCAGGATCACCCCTAAACGTACACAGTACCGTGACCACCGCACCAATAGATTAAGAAAATCATTAGTTCAGTGGTCCCGGTACTGTGTGTTTAGGGCTGATCCTGGACGGCATGGGTTAGAATCCTGGCTGGGTCAGTTGGTTCTTAACCTATGGCTTGAGTGTTCCTTCAGCTTTCTCATACATATAACCATGTACCAGTCACTCGCCCGTCTAGGGGTACAGGGACTCCACGGTACAGTTCCTCGCCGTCTGGTACCTTGTGGTACCAATCTCGCTCTTCCGTGTTTCACTTGCATATTTTGTTTTCACTGTTTGTGCCTGCAGGATGGAGCTCCTGGACCCCGCCTTTCTAATAGTCGGTTGTTAATTTAGATTCCAAACCTATTATATATTCAGCGCACAAATCGCCAGGAACCAGCCCGTAGCAGATGTCTAACGTCAAAGTACTGTACCTATTTACTGCTGAGTGAACAGTTGCGTCAGGTGAAAGAAACTCTGGCCGGGCCCTTGGGACTGACCCCCCCAACCCACCCAGAGCCGTTAGCTGGGCAATGTGTGTACTTGTTTGTGCTTGCGGGGGGTTGAGCTTCGGGTCTTTGGTCCCGCCTCTATCAATTTGTGTACAGGTTCCAAAGCTTATTGGGTTCTACTGTCCAAATTTGAAGTCGTGTATGGAGTCTCTCATCACTGCCTAATACATCCCATTTAACTATTGGCAAATATTTTGTCTGGCTCATTTGGGTATTTTGACTTGTTCCCCTTGAGCGAGAACTACCGGTGTGACTGGCAGTTTTATCTACCCTATAGAGTCCCCTGAGAACTTTGGACGTGGTACCTAATTCCTCTTTCTAGCGACGTGAGATGCAATTCACGCAGCTTTTCCTCCTAACTCGTCTCTGGTGGTTCTAGAACTTGGTGGCATACTTTTGAACCTTCTCCCACTTGTGCTTGATAAAGTATGGACTCCACGTTGAAACTGCCTACTCTAGGGTTGGGCTGACGTGGTATAAAAGGTTCTAATTTGCTTGTATATATTTATGAAGGCAGTTCTGGTGTTGGCCAGCCTAGTATACGGCGCCGATATTCTTTTACGGACTTTGGGAGAAGTTCGGTGTGATATAAACCGCTGGATTCTTCAGTTTCATAGATTAATGAAGATTAAGCCACCCAAGAGGTGGCACGGTATGAATAGGCAGTTTTGTTTTTGATTCACCTGCTTAGAATAAAAAGTTCCAAGTAGCACAGGTTATATCCCCTCTGCCGTTTTCAAAATATCAGATATATCGAAATCTGACTCTTGAGCGCTTTTTTTTTTTTTTTTTTTAGCCGAATTCTGGCTCACTGCACATTTTTGGAGTTTGAAATTACTACTTTTTATACCGAAAATGTTAATTACTGAAAGCGGCGATGGGTCGCATTTTGCCCAAACCCCCCCTGCAGTTTTCCAAATATCCCAAACATCCCAAATTCGACGCCTGAGCTATATTTTTGAGCCGAATTCTGGCTCGCTGCACGTATTTGCAGTTTGAAATAGACATTTTATACCGAAAATATTACAATTAGTGAAAATGCGATGGGTCACAATTTGACCAACAACCACCCCCCCCTGCAGTTTTTAGAATTCCGGAAATATCGAAAATCTGACTCATGAGCGTTATTTTGAGCCGAATTCTAGCTCCCTGCACATTTTTAGAGTTTAAAATTACGATTTTTTTTAGACCGAAAATATAAATGCCAATTAATGAAAACGGCGATGGGTCACATTTTGCCCCGCCCGGCCCCCCCCCTGCAGTTTTCTCGATATCGCCCCCTCCCTGACCAGCTCCGTGCTGCCGTGAGGAGGCAGCAACCAGCATCACTAAAAATCGGACAGCATAAAAGCATTACTAAAGCTTTTACCCCTCCTACAGTTCTGACACGCCTCTTCCTTGAGCACTTTTCTTCTCACTCCCACTCCGTTGCCATCTTCACCGACGGGTCAAAGTCTGCTGACGGTGTGGGCTACTCTGTTGATGATTTGGTGAAGATTAAGCCACCCAAAAGGTGGCACGGGCATGAATAGCCCATAAGTTTTTATTTTTAAAACAGAGCAATTACAGCATACAGTAACCATATAACAGGAAAGCACAGAAGAACAAAGAACGCAGAATAACAACACAACACGTAACACAGATCAGCATAACAGAAAAGTGAAAACAAAGAATAACAAAACTCGAAAGAAAACACACACACACACACACACACACACACACACACACACACACACACACACACACACACACACCCTGCCTGCCTGCCTGCCTGCCTGCCTGCCTGCCTGCCTCCCTCCCTCCCTCCCTCCCTACCTCTCTCATGACAAAAGAGCACAATAAAACCGAGGGTAAAATATAAACAAGGAATACACATATACACAACACCACCACAAAACACATGCGCCACTCCACACAGCAGCAGACAACACACCACAATCACAATACCAGAACACAATAACAGAACACAATAACAGAACATGGTAATATAACACTGGAAATACAACATAGTAAATAAAATGCAGGAAAATAACAAGGGAATACAACAAAGCAATACACAGCACAGTACATAGATCAAAGGAAACAGAACACATTTACATTACATAGTAAAATGTCAAAATAAAAAATAAGAAATACAGAATCGGTATAACACAAACGAACATTGGAACAGAACACAGTAAATAGGACACAGATAATAGAACAAATCGTAAATAAGCATAAACAAAAATGGAATCTTACACATAGGTAACAATGAAATACAGGCAAAAAAGAAAAAACACTAGAGCATTATAACCCAGCTAGGTAAGAAAACAGGAAAAAAAAGGAACCCGTATCACATAGCTCAACAAAACAACGAAAGAAATACAGCAACACAAAGCAAGAACCACACACACAGTCAATCATCTTCATATTTATCCGGATAGAAACGACGCGGGTACTTATTCCTGTAACATCCCACTGTGCCTACAATTCCATAGGCGCGTTAACGTGACTACGTGACCCTCGCGGTCGATGCATGAAGTCAGGAACCTCCAGCTCGGCGCCCTCCACCACGGAGGCGGTAGGCACGGGAAGAGGCCGCACAGAGGGCTTTGATACAGACGGTGGAACCACACGGGACTGAAGCACAGGAGTCGGCCGGATATAGGCCAGCAACATAGCGGGCGGAGTCGCAGGGGACGCAATCACAGAGGGCGATGGTGCAGGGGCCGACACCACAGGGGACGGAGTAACAAAGGACGACTGAGCAGAGGGCAAAGGCGTGGAAGGCACAGACATGGACGCCAGAGGCACGGAGGCCGCCGGAACAGAAGCATTTGTAAGAACCGGCACCAAGCCCCTACCCTCTCTCGCAATCTCGGCCGGTGCCACAACCTCCCAACCCGGGGAACCAGCAACCGGTGACGCGGAGGCAGCCGGAGAAGACACCGGACCAGGGCCAGGCGACAATCCCACCACAAGACCCATCACTGCTGCAACACGACCCACAGGAGCCGCAGGCACTCCAACAGCGTCGCACACATCACACTCCCCAGAAGACGAACTCCTGGAGTCCTCAAATTCCCCGACGTCGGCCCAGGCCGCATTACGAGGCGGAGACAGACTCAAAGCCCGCCGCGAACGCTTGGACACAGGTCGCAGATCGTCGGAACTATTACCTCCGCTAGGAAGCACCGTAGCAGAACCGCTGGTTGCCCGTGCAACTCCCCGCAGCGCACGATCACTTAACATCACAGCCTCAACAACCCGGGGAACAGGACCACACACCGCAGGAGACATCACAGTGTGCACGTCGACACGAGTCGAAGACACAGCTGCCGGAGACAGTACAGGCCGAGGCGCAGCCTCGACGTCCGGAGTCACGAGACCACACACCACAGGAGACTCGACTGGAGACGAGGCAGGCAGGGGAGGCTGAGGTGCGGGAGCCGGGGATGCACTTCCTTCCACTCCGACACCCACAGCCACATCGAGGCTGGCATCAGAGACCGGCAACGGGGCACCAGAGGACTGGGAAGTAGCACTTTCCACAGCAGCACCCTCCGACAGGTCCGGGACCGCCAACGGGGAAAAGTCCTCCTCCCTGAAGAGGTTCACAGGCCCGACCCGGCTCGCATCACATCCCGCAGCCTGATGGCCCGAGAGTCTGCACCGGAAACACGTCCGGGGCTGATCCCCATAGAACACGCGTACCATGAAGCCCAGAAGCTGGAGAGACGAAGGGATGGAGTCCTTCAAGCGCAGCGCCACAGTGCGGGTCCCATTCGGGATACCCTTCCACCGCCCGGAGGAGACTGCATTCATTCGGACACTCAAGACCCCCCCCCCATACCGGGTAAAATGACGCTGGAGAAGAGAGTCAGGGAACTCAAAGGGAGCACCATGAACTGCCACATAGGTAGTCTCACTGCACCTGTCCGACACTATCACCGAACCACCACCCTCAGGCAGAGTAAATGTCCTCCCGTCATAGCGGTCCACAAAGTCACGATACACAGCCGTAGAGCAGAATTTCACAACAGCTCGATGCTCGGATACAAGTTGAACGCCGCACACAGACGCCACATCCACCCGCAACATGTCAATCATCACCACCTCAACTGCCGGGTAAGACGCTGGGCCAGTAAATTCTAGACTAATGGTATTCCTCCGCTTCACAGGGAGGAGGGGGGCCGCCATCCCTCCAGCCGCCACGGCCCCAAGGGTCCGCTCACACACACAAACTACCACGGGCCAGCAAACCAGGAGCTCACAGGCGACACGTCCACCTCCGCCCAGAGCTAGGCGAACCAATAGACGGTAAGTGGTGGCCCTTTTGAGCCATTACCACTTACTGATAAGCTGATACTGGAGATCTGTGGAGGTGCAACTGCACCCTGCATGACGGGAGATGTCTCCCGACCTACTCTGTAGTTTTTTCCTGACCACACTTATATGTGTCGCCTGGCTCCGGAAGCTAGCATCTTCACAGCAGAACTTGATGCTATTCTCTATGCTCTTCGTCTCCTGCTTTTCCGGTGTCAATCCTCCTTCGTGGTAGTAGTTGACTCTCGTAGTGCCCTCATGGCTTTAGGGTCCTTTAATCCGGTCCACCCGGTGGTCATCGAGATTAAACATTGGCTGTTTCTTATCTGCAGTAAATTTAAGTCGGTTGAGTTTTGCTGGGTTCCCAGCCATGTTGGTGTCTCTTTAAATGAGCGTGCGGATACTGTCGCTAATAAAGCTATCCGCACTTGTCCCATCTCCCGTAAAGGTATTCCTTATTCCGACTTTTACCCAGTTATTCATGCCTCCATTCTTGCCCACTGGCAGAGTTGTTGGTCTTCTATTATTGGTAACAAACTGCGTACTCTTAAGAGTCGTCGTGTGTCCCTCCTCCTACCACCGTAACCGGCGGTGAGAAACGGCTCTAGCTAGGTTACATATTGGCCATACCCGTTTAACTCACGGTCACTTAATGGAGCGCCGCCCTGCTCCTTATTGTCCAAATTGCATTGTCGCTCTTACGGTCATGCACATCCTTGTTGAATGTCCTGATTTCCAGGACGAACGTGTGTCTTGCTTTCCGACCGTCCCTCGGTAGAATTCTTGGTGAATCGAGTACTTTTGATATCGTTCGCCTTATGCGTTTTTGTTCCCGTATTGGCATCCTTGGTGATATTTAGCGCCCTCTGATTACTCCGCACATTTGGTGGTGCTACATAGCCTTCCCGGTTTGGTGCCTTCTTTTGATAATTGATTACTTTTTCAATATCGGAAATATCCCAAATATGACTCATGAGCGTTATGTTTTAGCCAAATTCTCGCTCACTGCACATATTTAGAGTTAGAAATTATTACTTTTATACCGAAAATATGCCAATTAATGAAAACGGCGATGGGTCACATTGGCAAATACTTTTAATACTGAAAAATGCAAACCCTTACATGTAGGGCATAACAATGCACATCACAATTATTAAATCAACAACATTACCTTGCAGCAGATTGAAGAAGAAAAGGACCTTGGAATCAGAATCCACCAGTCATTAAAAGTTGCCCAAAAGGTAGAACCTGAAAAAAGGCCAACCAAACCCTGGGAATAGTAAAACCAACGTTTGACTTTAGGAAAAGAAAGTCTTTGTTCAATTGTACAAATCTCTGGTGTGTCGCCATCTGTAATACAGTTTAAGATTCTGATAACGACAATGTCTACTTGCTATAATGTTATTATGGCATGTAATTAATGTACTGTAATATTATATAAACTTTCTTAATTATAAATGTGGAACCATTTAGGGAATAAAGCTTCTAATTTGACTGTGGTGACAGGTCCGTCGGCAGCGCCATCTATTGATTGCGAGCAAAACCAGAAAGTGGCCACGTGACGCAGATCATCACACAGTTTCTTTACCTCTTACTTTAATTGTTGTCCTCGCTGGTGGTCAGCGTTGGTCTGTACACTTCTTCCCGAGAGTACAGTGGAGACACTTGTTGGAGCTCTCTGCCCCTCGCTCATCCTTAGGCTTTTATTCTCCAGCAACCGTTGGAATCCTATTTTAACATGTGTATTTTAGTCCTTCATAATGGTGAGTTGTTGCTGCTGATATTTATACAAGAGGTATGATGTGCTGGGTACAATATACTTTGGTTAACTAGTCGTTACCCTAAGTGTTGGGTACAGCTGTACTTGCCTAATGGTTTTTCTTTTTGATATATCTTGGCAATTACAAACAAATGTGCTAAATAATCATGGCAGCATTTTTGGGGTAACTCGGTTACTATGAGCATACTCGAAGAGTCAAACGTTCATTCCACTCCGTCGCTAAACGCTCTATTTGTGTCTTCAAAAGTCATAGTTTGAATCGTCTCGGTGATTTAATGTGATTCGGATAGCAGTTCTGTACATGCTTCACATAAAACAAAACTAATTTAAACCTGAACGCATAAGGAGACCTACGTTCAAATATGCATAAGGTTTTAAACGTTGAGAATTCCTATTTAACATGAACATCTTAAAATTGATCAGTTTGTGGTCGGCAGCTGCATAGAATGACTGTTGGCTGAGAACTGGTACCCAGTTTAACGAAACATTCTAGATATTAGACTAATATGGTTTACTTGGTAGTTGCATAAAATGGTGGGCAAATGTAGTACTTCAATGTTATCATTAGGAGAGTTGCGGGAACTTTACAACATTTGAATAAACAAGTTAGTTTAACTGACAATTTTGGTAAATTATATAGAATGTTAGTGCTACTTAATGTATAGGTTAAGGGAGCAGCTTAAAGAATCCTGACTTAGTAGCTTTAATCCCGTTAAAAGAATACTTAAGATGCCGTATTATTACTGACATAAATAATTTTCTTATTTTTACAGAATCTTCGAGGAGTCTTGTTGGAGACCTGCACAATAAATTTCAAAATATTACGAAGAAAAAAGCGTTATTGGCATTGAGAGAATCTCAAACACTTCAGTCACTAAAATTGTTAGTATTAGGACGGCGCCTCCAAACTGAAGATTCTAAAATTGAGGAAATTACTAGTTTTAATTGTCATGGACAGACGGGCCTGCAAGACTGGAATATTTACGAGAATTACGTAGGAACGGAAAATGATAAAGTTGAGTGCGGATACTACGAGGGAAAAGATTCCTCAAATTTAATGGGTCTTGCAGATACTTGCTCAGATTATAAAGTGTGTTTATCAAGTTATGTTTATGAAAGTAGTTTACTATGTCACCAAGATGGTGACCTCGAGGATATAAATGGCCTGGAGAGACGATACGAACGCCCGAGTGAGCCAGTACTTGACAAAACCTGGAAAAACGACCAAGTTTGGCAGGATGCAGAATCGATGTCTCGGAACGACGCGTCTAAGTATCGGCTGGAGACTGTTTCAGGCCTCGACCCTGACGACTGGCATGATGCTGACGAAGACAAGTTCGGAGAAGTTGAAGTGCGTGATGGTTTGATGCCTGGACAGAACACGAGCACTGTGCTGTTAGATGCTGGTGCCTCCGGTGCTAGACGCAGTGCCGGCGACTCTGAGGGCGGTGCTGGGCGCGGTGGTCGTGGTGCTAGACGACGACACCGTCGTCGTCGTGGTGGTCGTCGTGGCGGTGCCGGGGGCGGCGACGGGGGTGCCGGGGGCGGCGACGGGGGTGCCGGGGGCGGCGACGGTGGTGCCGGGGGCGGCGACGGTGGTGCCGGGGGCGGCGACGGGGGTGCCGGGGGCGGCGACGGGGGTGCCGGGGGCGGCGACGGGGGTGCCGGGGGCGGCGACGGGGGTGGGGGCGGCGACGGGGGTGCCGGGGGCGGAGGGGCGGCGACGGGGGTGCCGGGGGCGGCGACGGGGGCGGCGACGGGGGTGCCGGGGCGGCGACGGGGGTGCCGGGGGCGGAGATGGTGGCGGCGACGGGGGTGCCGGGGGCGGCGACGGGGGTGGAGATGGACTGGGCTGCCGGTGACTGGGCTGCCGGTGACTGCCGGTGCTGGGGTGCCGGTGACTGGGGTGCCGGTGGCGGCGACTGGGGTGCCGGGGACGGCGACGGGGGTGCCGGGGACGGCGACGGGGGTGCCACCGGGCCAGTGCAAAAACGTGGCTCCCGTTCAAAGGGGCCTAAAAAGGCTCCATTACAAAAGCCCAAGGAAACGCTCCCACCTATGTCGGCCAAATCTAAAAAGAAAAGATCGAAGCTTAGGAAAAACTCTAGTCAAAGCGGTGAGGGTGTCCTTCCTGAAGATGGAAGAGGTTTTTATTATTTCTGTTCTGACGTTCCAGTGACTATCAAATGTAGGCTTGGTCCAAATAAACGTGAGACCCTAGAACTCCCTCTATCTGAGGATGCAATTAAACGCATGAAAGATGCCTTTGAAGAGGCTAAAATTAAGGATTCTATCAGGAGAGGACCGGGCAGGGTTCCCGACATGGCTGAACATATACCTACCCTTCCACAATTACTTCAGGATCCAGCTCCATCCAGAACTGTAATATCTCGCCATTCATCTCGGTCAACAGATGAATCCGCGTTCACTAAATCACCACGGCGGGGAGCGCGCGGCTCTAAAGAAAAATTAGGTTCTCAAGAGGGTACCCGTAAGCGAAATGCTACTATCGTAGATTGCCATCGTAATCTTATTGACCGGACCAGAGAATTGCGTAGTAGAAACGCGAGTAAGTCTACTTCTCCAAGGTATCGTTCTACCCAAGAGGCTTCTGGTCTCTCCCCACCTGAGCACGTCAACAAATCTGCTCCTCCAATGATTACACTGCCCATTTCTGCCCTGAAGGATCTGGGAATCTCTCTACCTTCGCGCACCAAGGATTCTCTTTCAGTGCCATTGCCAACTGTTCCCCAAGAGGACTCGGATTCTTCTAGTATAGATGGTGATAACTGACGAGGCCACAGCCAGACATGAACTTTATCCTAGATGGAATAAACGTCCATCTTACTGCGGCTTGAGCGGGTTCTTAAGACGGCTGAAATGAGAGGTAAGATACTATACAGTGAAGTTTAAATTATTGAAGGATAAGTTTGAAGATTTTCTTGCATAAAATTCTAATTTCATAAGTTACTAGGGCATATCAGACTTAATTGACACTTGTTTGAAAATTAGAATTTATAAAGTTTTTAAAAATGCCTGTCAGGCATTTTTAAAATAGTTAGTAAGCAATTTAGTTACTTTGACCAATTGGCCACTTAAATTCCCATCTTAAATATGGGCTCTATCAGGATTTGAAATAACGTGTAAATATTCAAAATTAGATGGGGTTTTCTATGGGGAATTTTGTTTTTATTAATTGCTTTTAATTTTGTAAATTTTCAGGTATCCTCGTTTGCCCGAACAATAAAAACTGCTACAAAAGCTTTAATAGTGATGTGCTGGATAATTTCGCTGGGCATAATAGACGCGCTGGTATAATAGACGGCCAAGTACCTGCCATCAGTTCTTGACACGTAAGTATGTTCTTGATGGCAACTGTTTCTAACTAGATTATATACCGCCTTCTGCTGAAACAGATCTTGGTCTTGGCTATCTTAACTAGATTCTCTTATTTTGGACAACTTTCGTACCAAGAGTTGTAACTTCTGTCCATTTAGCTATAAATTTCTTTACCCAAAATATCTTCATTAGGGAGAAAGGGTTATTTAAATTGACCAAAACCCCACACTTAGAATGTGAAGAGGCGTTTCGGTCCGCCTTGGACCATTCTAGAGTAAAATTAATTTTTTTTTTTTTACCGAAAATGCACTTTATAACATTGGTCAATAATGGAGGACCAACAAACTCTTATAATTACAATTATTAAATGACCTGCGATCCCGGGTAGACCATGTTTCCTAGCCTCGTGCCGAGTTATGTTGGGTAAATATGCACATAAATGCAAGTGGACTGAGTATTGGTTTTTATAAATTTTGTTACGGATAACATGGGTAAGTTTTAATATTTCCCAAAGGTGGAGGTTCATAATGGTTCTAACACTTGTCAATTTGTTGAAATTAAGCGAATTTACTTTCGAATTCAATGCTAAACCTACTTTACTTTGTATGATTATAAGTTTGTCTGCAGTTAATGTTCTACCACAAGCCTACTGTTAGAGAAATCTTTAAAAAAAGATAGCTTTTACGATCTGAATTATGTAGCTAAACCGGCGTCTATAGCTGGTAACAAGACTCCTTAATGTATAGTATTAAGTAGTGTCATCAATAAGAAAACACTATGCAAGATCGGCGGCCCTAGTGAATGTCTGCCTCTCAAACCGTAACGGCTTGGAACACAGCCTTCCTTTAAGGTGTTATTAATGCCATAAATGAGTCTATAAACACTGACCCACATTGATTAGTTTCCTTGTATGCTTACTGGTGACTTGAGAATCGTGTTAACTGACGCCAGTATTTCACTCTAACATGATCAGATGAGATTACAGTTTTGGATATTTATCCTGGGTCGGAACTACAATAGTTGGAGTAGTGTAACGGCTGTATTGTGACAGGCATAACTGATAAGCACACTGGAAAGATTATTCGTAAAATTCCAATGGCAGTTCCTCCCCCCCCCCCCCTCTACCTAGCTCATTCTTGATTACATTGGAGTAGGCTTTACATTAAAATTGTTAGAATTATTTATATATAAGGTATTGCAGGCGAGGAGTCGCAATGTGCCTGAAGTATGTTGACCAATCCACATATTAGAAAATGGACGACGTCTTTTCGGTTCGTCCTGGACCATTGTAGATTGTGAACGTTCCGGTACGGGAACGGGACAATCGACTTCAGAATGTTCCAGAACGGACCGAAACGTTGTCGTCCTTTCATTTTCTCGTGTGGCGATTGGTCAACATATAAGGTATTGATTTAAATCTGTGCACTTTAGTTCATTAACGAGGTTTTAGAACTGTTGCTCAACAGTCTCCGATCAGAGTAGGAAGGTTTTTGGTAGTTACTCTGACAGTATTGCAAATTTAAATTATTTAATACTGCTGAAAGTCTGTTAAGATACATTTGTTCATTTAAGCTTAATGATCATAGTATTACCCCACTGACCCTCCCAAGTCTCGCGCGTCCGACACAAAACTCTTAAGAATGTGTGACGCTGTAGGACTCGTGTTAGAAGGGCAGAATGGTCGTCGTTTGGGCCAACACACGCACCTTCCTGCACAAGTCTGCATTCAACCACTCCTGTTGCTCCTGTTAGGCGATAAACCGTGGCTCCGGGACCCAAACAATATAGGATAAACGAAACTACTTCGTAACTACAGGTTCGTGGGGGGGGGGGGGGGTGACTAGGTACTAGCGGCAACTCTGTAGCCTCGTCTACGTTGGGCCGGGACCAGGCTTCATATTCGACTACCCCGAACAGATTGTTCCCTCGAGACTTCTTCAGCAAGGTTGTCAGTGGTGACTAGTCAATCACCTAGCGTGTTTACAATCTTTCCTTGTGACAACGATGATGCAAAAAAAAAAAAAGTCGGGAGGGAAATAAAACGCGGAAAACTCGCGATCACTTAGACGATCTAAATAGGGGTTTGAAATGGTGAAAAGTTTGGCAGATGCAGTTTAATGCTGACAAATGTAAGGTTTTAAGGTAATGTAGTTGCAAGATAAGAGCTAGATGGTGTTTGCAAAGTCGGATTGAGAAAGGGATCTAAGAGTTGAGAATTTAAAAGCAAAACAAAAGATGCATAAATGCTTGTAAGAAGGCAAATGGCACACTTCCATTTATTAATCGAAGTGTTAAAAGACGCCTGGGGTTTTTTTCAGCAATATCTTGCTCTGGTTAGGCCCCATTTAGATTACAGTTCAGTTTTGGTCGCCGCACTATAGAATGGATATAAATCCACTAGAACGCGTAGTGTAGGATGCCAGTTAATCCCCTAAAATCGGAAACTTGTCATATGAAGGAAGATTGACAAAGCTTAAATTACATTCGTTGGAAAATCTAAGTTAGGGGTGTTAGCATCAACCGTATAGTTGATGCCGTCAGAGCCCACAGCTGTAAAACTGTAGAGACGTTGATAACTGGATTTCAGATGCAGAAATTAGTTATAGGAGAGAAATTCTAAGGGGGACAATGTTCAATAAGGGGTTTAAGTAGGAAGCCTAGTGAAAGTCTGGGTGTCATAAATGTTAATTGGTGTTTAGTCAACAAGGTGCTGCTGTAAATCAGGGAGGGTATATTAATCGTGACAGATGAACACTGGCCACGTAGCCAAACAAATCGTGTAACACAAGTGTTTGAAGGCATGTGTAGTGCCTAGTCATCCACAATAAATTCAAAGTGTGCAGTTTTCAGGACTTTCCTCTAATTTATCCCTCTATGGAATCTTTAGCGAATGTGATAAGAGCACATTAGATATATCCAATTTATCTTGAATTGTCATCCTCGATGACTTGGAGCTTTTAAATATCCTGCGACCCTGATGATGCATAGTCTCTTCGGCTTGGTGCCTTTTGACAATTTTTTCTAAATAATTGTATTTGTTGTATTAACCAATTTTACTCTCGGGTCCATAGAAGGTAAACTTGACTGGGTATATTGTAACTTTTCAACGATAAGAAACTAAATCATATGTTCCTAGTTTAAATGCCACTAATCACAACTTGACTGTTTCAGCCTGTAACGTGGGCCGTCTGTGGGGGACCTGTTGCTGTGAGGCCTTCAGATGGTCACCGGGACTTACAGGAAAAGGTTTGCCAAGTCTGTGGCACCAGACAACGTGATGCCTGTCAAAACATGGTTTTCTTTTATGGTTGGTTTGGAGGCAAAAGATAATAGCCATTAACATGATTAGCTCGGACGAGAAGCAATTGGGGGAAACTAGACACGATAGTCAGTTTTATCAACTTTAGTTTTAAACATTGTTGCAGGATCTCCAATAATGGCATATCACAAATGAAACTTTTAATTGAGCTCCAACAAATCATTTTATTGGTTATTTTATTGTGAACTGAACCCATAAGGGGGATAATTTTAATGATATTTTTAATAAGCCTCTTTGTCCCTCCACTCTTCATTGACCTCTTAGAAGTGTTAGGGGAGTGGGGGGGGGGGGGGGCGTTTGAGGAAGTGTACTGATAATTCGGGGAGCAGTTGATAGGCCTAGGGGAAGGATTGCGGGCAATAAGACTTGTGCTTCGCTCCCACGCGTCTGTGTTCACTTACAACACTGTCGTCCTTAATCTGTCGTTTGTCGACTTTGCAGAACAGAGCCAAGAGCGTCTCTACTGTACACATTGGTTGGTTAAGTGGCCATTACGGAAGTAACCAAGTTTTAAACTTTAGTATTTGCAACGTTCATGTATTAAATACAGCCTTGGACAAATACATTCCCACGTCATCGTGGAATTGTGCCATAGTGGTGGCAGCTCAAATGTTTTATTTTAATTTGACATTTTAAATTGCTAATTATTTGCATCTAACCAGTCTTTTTAAGCGTACTATAGCCTAGTGAAGGCGTCCTGCCTCATGGTACAACGTGATGCACAGTCAGTTTCACATTAACAACTAGTTGATGCTTGCTCTAAGGTGTTGATCAGACATCAGTGGCCCCTTTATGGCCTCTTAAGGTTCCTTGTGAGCAAACAATGTAGTTCTTGCGCTGATTATCATGTCATGGTTTAGAAGGCATTGTAAGATATACCTTTTTGTAATTGATGCCCATTGCTGGCTGGGATAGTGTAGACGAGGTAAATTTGAATGTAAACAAAGGCTTTCTATAGCATGGACAACCTGCATGTAGCCTGCAGGTCTGTAAAAGTTTTTAACATGGACAGAATTTAGGTTTAAAAAAAATCATTGTTCAAGGTATGACTGAGACTAATTTTTAGTTTACTGATCTATGTTAGATATTATACTAGTAAAATATATCGGCTCGACTTGTGGAAATGAATATTAGGTTAATATTGTAATTGTTAATTATCTAGGTAAAGTAATATATGTTTAAGAATTTGAATGTTGTGACGTTATTTAAACTTTGGTTTTTACTTGGTAGAATAAATTACATTCGATGCTGTATGTTCGGTTTTAATGGCTTTAAATTGTTAAATTTTAAAGTTTCACATGGGCGCCTTGAGCTGCTCCACCAATCACCTTTGACACAAATGTATAAGGAAAGTGCCAGAACTTTATCTGGACTTCTTCACACTTGGAAATAAAGTGGTTAAAAGAATGTTTGTTTATTTGACAAGTTTTAGCGCCCTCTGATTATCCCGCACATCTGATGGTGCTACATAGCCTTCGCGGTTTGGTGCCTTCTTTTGATAATTACTTACTTGAGCCCCTTAGTCATGTTTCATCTTTTGATACTTGCTTATTTGAAAAGCTGTTAGTCATTATGACTGTGCCATTACCACTAGTGGTGGAAACTAGGCACCTGACACCCCCCCCCCCCCAAATATTTTCAGAATATACCCCACCTTTACACACGCATCACAATAGTGATGTATCTAATAAACTGTACCACGACAGTCAAAAGAATTGCAACCTGGAGTGCCATTGCAACCACGAGGCTCCCGAAGCTTCTCGTAAGCCCAATCGGGGTTTCGCATAATTCCCTCATGCACTCGGGTTGTCAACTTTTGACCATGTCGTCGTGGCACGGGTAACTAGGGCGCATCTGGGAACATTCCCCTGCGTAGATTCGAACCCTCAAGGTCCTTGTTGATATAATTTTAGACCCACTTGTTCTCCCATAGAACAGTTATAACAGAGCGGGTTGATAATGGCCGATAACTACAGGATCTCTGCCTAACCTTCACTGCTCTTCCAGCAGCCTCGGAGCGCACTGTGGCAGTAAGGGATTGATTGATGGATGAAGATTAAGCCACCGAAAAGGTGGCACGGGCATGAATAGCCCCTAAGTGGTGGCCCTTTTGAGCCAGTATCAAAAGATGATTCTGGAGGTCTGTGGAGGTGCGACTGCACCCTGCGTGACGGGAGATGTCTCCCTGTGGCAGTAAGGGTGGCAGATTACATATAAATATAACCATGTACCAGTCTCTCGCCCGTCTAGCGGTACAGGGACTCCACGGTACAGTTCCTCGCCGTCTGGTACCTTGTGGTACCAATCTCGCTCTTCCGTGTTTCACTTGCATATTTTGTTTTCACTGTTTGTGCCTGCAGGATGGAGCTCCTGGACCCCGCCTTTCTAATAGTCGGTTGTTTTAATTTACCGATTCTGAACATTCTTACATATTCAGTGCACACGTCACCAGGAACCAGCCCGTAGCAGGTATCTAACGTCAAAGTACTGTACCTATGTACTGCTGAGTGAATAGTGCATCACGTGAAAGAAACTGGCCGGGCCCTTAGGACTAGAAAAGCTGTTAGCTGGGCAATCTGCGTACTTGTGCTTGCGGAGGGGTTGAGCTTCGGGTCTTTGGTCCCGCCTCTAGATAAATTTATGTACAGGTTCCAGAGCCTAATGGGCTCTCGTGTCCATTTGAAGTCGTGTATGGAGTCTGCCGCATCACTGCCTAATGCATTACATTTAACTATTGACAAATATTTTGTCTGGCTCATTTGGGTGTTTAGACTCGTTCCCCTTGAGCGAGTACTACCGGTGTAAATGCCCGTTTTATCCTATAATTTTCCCCTGAGAATTTGCTTTGCTTTCCGACCGCCCCTCGCGGTCACCTGTCCCTCAATAGTGACCTTGGTGACTCGGATACTTTTTATTTTATTTATTTATATATATACAAGGTACATTGGGTTTGTGAGAATACATTGGATAGTACAGTATTTACATTCTTGTAAAGCCACTAGTACGCACAGCGTTTCGGGCAGGTCCTTAATCTAGCAGATAATTTTAAGTAGGTAATTTCAATCAGAATTGATAATTGATTGATTGATTAAATTTATTAGATTGATGATTGATTAAATTCAATCAGAATTGATAATTGATTAATCAGAATTGATTGATATCGTTCGCCTTACGCGTTTTTGTTCTCGTATTGGCATCCTTGGTGATATTTAGCGCCCTCTGATTATTCCGCACGTTTGATGGTGCTACACAGCCTTCCCGGTTTGGTGCCTTTTGATAATTACTTCCCTGAGAACTTGGACGTGGAGCCTAATTCCTCTTTCTAGCGACGTGAGATGCAATTCACGCAGCCTTTCCCCCTAACTAATCCCTGGTGGACCTAGAAATTGGTGGCATACTTTTGAACCTTCTCCAATTTGTGCTTGATTAAGTATGGATTCCACGTTGAAACTGCCTACTCTAGGGTTGGGCTGACGTGGTATAAAAGGTTCTAATTTGCTTGTATATATTTATAAAGGCAGTTCTGGTGTTAGCCAGCCTAGTATACGGCGCAGATATCCTTTTACGGACTTTGGGAGAAGTTCGGTGTGATATAAACCGCTAGATTCTTCAGTTTCATAAATTGATGAAGATTAAGCCACCCATGAGGTGGCACGACATGAATAGGCAGTTTTGTTTTAGATTCAGCTGCTTAGAATAAAACGTTCAAAGTAGCACGGGCTATGGTGAGCCCGTGCTACTAGAAACTAGCTTACTAGACCTTACTACTGCAGCTGCACTTAAACTGGCTGAGAGAGGGCCAGTCTTCAACGTGATTGGGAAAGTCAATCCACATTCTGGGTCCCTTAATTTGCAGAACATTTCGGTGTGGTGCCCATGGGTTCTGTTACAACCTTCTAGGACGCGTTTTAGGTTAGGATTGGCATTACAGTTTTATATATATATTTAGGAGTACGCATGAGAAGATGGGCAGTAACTTGATATCTAACATATTCAAGGTTTTAAGTAAGGGGGGCAGAGGGTCAGTTTATTGTTCTAATAGATTCAAAGTTTTTAAACATAAATGATAAAAACGTGAGAAATGAGTAATTACATTAATTTAAGAACGTTCGAAAGGTGGGGCTAGGAGCCTAGCTCAACCCCCGCAAGCACAACTAGGTGAGTACAACTAGGTGAGCAAACATCCGCCTCCGTCCCTGCTTATCATTCAGACGGGTCCTGGCGGCCAGAAGCCAGTGGCAGGGCGCGCCGCCCCGCCTGAACGCTAAAAACACATTCCCAGCATCAAAGCGCCAACGTGTCTCTCTGCCCACCACCACCACCTGCTCTACCAATCCCCAGGGAGACACCAGCTGCAGGAGGAGGTGGTGGTCAGTAGCTCGCTGGTGGTGGAGGGAAGGAATGGTAGCTGATGGTGGACGTGGTGATGGTGGTGAAGGGAGGAAATGGTATCAACAGGTGGTGGACGATGGGAACGGTAGCAGCTGGTAGTGGATGGCGGGAACCAGTCCAAGAAGGTCACTCATGGACCCTCCTTGTGCTCCCTCTCAATCTCAGAAGCGTGAACACTCCAGCGCAGAACCAAAGTCCTCTCCCAGTACCCGTGACAGAACGGCATCCTGCCGAGGAGAAGGTCCAGAGTGAGGAGGAGAGTGGGGGGGGTGGTTGTGAAGGTAAATGCCCTGAAACTTTAGCAGGACCAGAAGTCTCAAGTACCTCTGAGAAGACAGAGCTAAACTTTGAAACCCTCATGTTGAATGCCTGTCAATGATCAATATTCCCATGGCACTGTCTGAGGTCTGGTCACCCAGGCTGTTCGATGAGTCTGCTCACAGCTAAAAGTAGCAGTCAGACTGGGTGATCAAGTATCCTTTAGACGATTTACAGCCTAAAGGTGGGGGAGGGAACGACGACCAGAAGCAGGGCGAACCATAATCACAGGGGAAGGAAGAGGTCTCTAATATTTCCATTTTTGTAAACCTAGCTGCAGAGCAGCAGCTACCTGATAAGCTTCCAGACCCAAAGCTGAATCAGTAAGGGCAAGAACCTCTCTGGATTCGGGGTCATGTGTGTCTAGCACCACTGATCTAGCAGGTAGCATGGTGGTGAAGACAGAAAAAACGACTATTGTCAGGTAACACTTATGATGAGCACCCTTCAAGTTCGCACTCTGCAAGAGCATTCTTGACGGTCGATGCATGACGGACCACACCAGAGACCCACAACAGGATTACCAGGACCTGACAGTAGCTAAGCACAAACCCCCAGGCACCAGGGCCAGTTGCCAGAAGAGTCACCAAATGCAGCCAAAACCACCAGACTGCAAATGGTTACCTTACCTTGAGGTGCTTCCGGGGCTCAGCGTCCCTGCGGCCCGGTCGGTCTCCTGGTGACGCAGAACATCTTATAAACAAGCACGTGTACTGGGGGTTCACCCCAGTGCAACCAAGAGAACACTCTCAGCCCCTGCAGAACAAAGTCCAGGGATGGCTACCACTTAAATAAAAATAAATTATTTATGTAATTATTTGTTTATATTCAAGGTACAATGGGTTTATGAGTACATAGCATTGATGTATTTACATTCTTGTGAAGCCACTAACACGCATTGCATTTCAGGCAGAACTTGGCTTGAAGTAGGGTAGCGTTGCCCACCACTGGTCGACTGGAGCACCATAGGCACAGCTGCCACCAGAGTATTAGCAACAGGACTGACAAGTGTAGGGGGACTGGGCTGCCTGGGTGGCAGTGATGGGTACTAAAGAGTTTTGAGTTAGTTTGGGGGAAGTAAGCAAGTAATTATCAAAAGAAAGCACCAAACCGGGAAGGCTATGTAGCACCATCAAATGTGCGGAATAATCAGAGGGCGCTAAATATCACCAAGGATGCCAATACGAGTAGTTTGGGGGAATCCCTCGTTCCATGTGAATCATTTGTAAATTTGTTTGGTGGCTTTGAGGTACTTCCTGTGAACCCTTCAGTTGTCTAAAAGTTTTTTCAACTTTCCGGAGTTTCCCAGTGAGGTGGCAAATTGCCACTCGCTCCTTGCTCTTCTGTGAGGGCAAGGGGAAGGGGGCCCCCCAGTGTCTGGCTCTGGTTACCAGCAGGCTAAGCAGAACTTGTGGCCGATGTAAACATCTCGGCAAAATAGCTTCAGGGAGCCACCAGGAGACTCAAACTCCTCAGTTCTTGAAGGGGGGTTAAGTAGATTCTTGGAATAACATCAAAATGGTTAACACCGTTATGCATCACATACAGTACTGCACCTTCCACAATTGCACACACTGAAAACATTATTTGCTGTCATATAATTATTGTCGAACAAATACTACTGTACCAAATATAATACATTTGCTCCATACTCTCATTAGCTTATATGCAGATAATGAGATGGGTTTGTTAAACCTACATCACCTACCTTAAGTTATCACATTTCCCAAGTGTACAACTAATTACAGTTAATACTTTTTTCCAACCTGCTGGAGAATGGTCAGGTCAGGTGAAGGCTGGTAATATAACTAGTCGACAGCGAATCAATCTAATTATGGGCTATTCATGCCCGTGCCACCTCTTGAGTGGCTTAACTTTCATCAATCAATCAATCAGTCAGTCTAAATTCCAAGAGTGGTTCAGTACAGATGCTCGAGGGATACCAGAGATCTTCAACATTCACCAACAACAATATAACACTTGACACATGCAGTTCCTTCACTTGCACGACGCTTCAGCCTCGCTACAGAGCAGACAGCCAGACTCCGGCTGCATCGAGCTTCCACACACTCCACCCGTATTCAGAGTGCCACGCTCTCAAAAAGTCCACTACGGGCTCACCATAGCCCGTGCTACTTGGAACTTTTTGTTCCCAGTAGCAAATCTTGAACAACATCAACTACTACTACACTCTCACCCCACATCCGAGCTCTCCACCCCCGGCCTCACTCGGCTCTCCGCCCTGCTCTAGGTTTTGTTTCTACTACAACTCTTCACAACATTGCCAACAAACTGACTGCTGTAACCAAGACTATACTAAATAGATATAACAAAAATGCTAAACTCTCGTGTCTAATCAACCAAACATGTAAAAGTAAATAATATGTTACACTACTATCATGAGCCTATTGATCCATATATATACATAATATTATATATTATATATATACAGTAATATTATATGTATAATAGGTAATGTGTGTGTGTGTGTGTGTGTATATATACACCTGTTGATTGACGGTTGAGAGGCAGGACCAAAGAGCCAGAGCTCAACCCCCGCAAGCACAACTAGGCGAGTACACACACACACAGTACCTCCTGTCAAAAGAAAATTATACTCCAATGTCTCAGTTGTGTAAACAAGACTATTATAATGACGTCTGTGCTACACTGAGACACCATTAGTATTATAGGAGCTCAACACAACAAAAATGGCATCCAGCTATGGTATGCTTTGTAACAATGTATATAAAGCTCGTATAAATAGCTTTACCTCAATTGTATCATGTAAAAGATGTATTAAATGTGTGACATTATTTACAACACTCAATGTTTGCTTCTATCTTAAGGAATGTTTTTGTTTCACCAGAAGAGACCACTATATAATATGACCTAAAATTAATCATGTACGATTGTATACAAACTTAAAAATACGAAAACAGACCATAACCAAATTGTACAATCGGTTACTTTGTAAACTAAAGCTAACACGGTTCTTGCACGCGTTGAGCGAAGGGCTCAAAAAGTACAAGTATAAATGTTAATCAATAAAACAATTTTGTATTTTAAAAAAATTTGTTTATTAAACTATTGTACCTTCAAATACAGGTTGAAAGAAATGAACTTAAAAAAAGTAGAATACAAAACCAACCAACCAACCAAACTCATCTTTGTTCATGAATCATCCTCACTATCAATCTCAATATCTGAAAGGTGCTTTCCAACTTTTAGCACAGGACTGCTATATTTACAATCGATAAGATTTCCTTCATCATCAAAATTGTCATCATCGTCGTCGTCATCATCATCATCATCACTGTCGCTGCTGCCGTGTACCACAATGCCCGAAAGGTGCTTTCTAAGTTTCAGCGTAGAACTGCTGTAGCCACACTCGATAAGATCTCCCTCCTCGTTGAAGTTTTCTTCGTCGCATTCATCGGCATCATAACTGTCATCGGAGTCACCTGTTGCAAAATAGTGTTTGTATTATGGCTATATTCTGACTTGTAGCAAATAACAAAACAATAATGTATTTAAAAACGCTTACCTTTTACATTAACATCAATTACATATTCTAGGTCATAAAAGTATGTGTGTGTACGTCTGATACCATACTACTTGTGTCAAGGAGGAAATGTATATGTTTATCTCTTAGAATGTTCGGTAATACGTTTATTGTTTGTGATGTGTGTCTATGTATGTATTAAAACGATGTACTGAACGGGGTGAGAATAGCTTCAGCTACCTCATCCCTTTCTATGTATTTTACCTCAATAAACTTATTTCAATTTCAACTGTACATATTTTTATGCAAACATCCTCTTAAGGGAGGAAATAAGGCAGAGGCAAAAATTACAGACCGATAGCACTAACCTCGCACATCACAAAAATCTTTGAAAAAGTGTGTTAAGAAGCCAGATCACAAAATACATGGAATCGCAGCATCTCCATAACACTGGACAACATGGTTTCAGAACAGGGTGTTCTTGTCTATCACTGTTGCTGGACCACTATAAGGTAGTACCTAAGCAATAGGAAGCAGAGTTACAGTGAGGGGCGAGACCTCAGATTGGCATGAAGTCACCAGTGGAGTCCCACAGGGCTCTGTACTCGGTCCTATCCTGTTTCTGATACTGTATACGTAAACGATCTCCCAGAGGGTATAGACTCATTCCTCTCAATGTTTGCTGACGACGCCAAAATTATGAGAAGGATTAAGACAGGAGGACTGCTTGAGGCTTCAAGAAGACCTAGACAAACTGAAGGAATGGTTGAACAAATGGTTGTTAGTTTAACCCAAGCAAATGTAATGTAATGAAGATAGGTGTAGGGAGCAGGAGGCCAGATACAAGGTATTGTTTGAGAGACGAAATTCTTAGAGTCAGAGAGAGAAAGACTTGGGGGTTATCATCATGCCAGACCTGTCCCCTGACGCCCATATCAAGAGGATAGCATCAGCGGCATATGCCAGGATGGCCAACATAAGAACAGCATTTAGAAACTTGTGTAAGGAATCATTCAAAACTTTGTATACCACTTATGTCAGACCAATCCTGGAGTATGCAGCCCCAGCATGGAGTCCATATCTAGTCAAGCATAAGACCAAACTGGAAAAGGTTCAAAGGTTTGCCACCAGACTAGTACCCGGGCCGAGAGATATGACTTATGAGGAGACCCTACGAGAATTAAACCTCACGTCGCTGGAAGACTATTTAGGGGTTAGGGGGTACATGATCACCACATACAAGATTCTCAGGAATTGACAGGGTAGATAAAGACAGGCTATTTAACACAAGGGGAAACATGCACTAGGGGACACAGGTGGAAACTGAGCGCCCAAATGAGCCACAGAGATATTAGAAAGAATTTTTTTTAGTGTCAGAGTGGCTGACAAATGGAATGCATTAGGAAGTGATTTGGTGGAGGCCGACTCCATACACAGTTTCAAGTGTAGATATGATAGAGCCCAATAGGCTCGGGAACCTGTACACCAGTTGATTGATGGTTGAGAGGCGGGACAAAAAGAGCCAGAGCTCAATCCCCGCAAGCACAAATAGGAGAGTACTATGACATGGCCTTAGATACCACGGAAGCAAGCAAAATGCTGATTTTGTAAAAGCCTTCGACAAATGTGACCATGGTGTTATTGCACACAGGTATGTTCAATAGAATTACCTGAAAAATAGGCAGATGGATCTACAACTTCCTGACTAACAGAACCCAATGTGTAATAGTCAACAAAATAAAATCCAGACCATCAACCTTGAACTCAGTCCCTCAGGGTACTGTGCTCTTGCTCCAGTACTGATTCTCATCCTCATATTTAGACATAGATATAGTATTATAGATTGTGTCCTTGTCTTTCTTTGCAGATGACACTAGGATTTTTATGAGAGTAGAACATAAGGACACTGTAAACCTCCAATAAGATGTAAATCAGGTCTTGGGGTAACAGAAAAATAATATGGTGTTTAGCGAAGTTCCAGCTCATGTGTTATGGAAAAAATTAAAATATAAAAACGGAAACCATATACAAAACTTCGTCAAATCATAACGTAGAACGAAAAGGCAATGTAAAGGATTTGGGTGTACTCATGTCGGAAGACCTTACCCTTAAAGAACACAATAAAGTAGCCGTCACAACTGCAAGAAAAATGACATGTTGGATAACAAGAACTTTTCACACTAGAGATGCTATATCGATGATGATACTCTTCAAGACGCTAGTGCTCTCTAGAGTGGAATACTAAAGATGACATGAAGATGGCACCAAAGAGAACTGCAAATGCTCAAGGAAATTCTATGGTCTGAAAATACAACACCTTCTGAAGCCTACCCAAGCCAACAATTAAGGTAATGCCCAAATGCTAGAAGACCAGACCAGAGCAGCAGGGACAGACCTCACTCTGAAAAACAATGACCAAGGAGCTGGAAGGCAACAGCCTTCCAATGGTGTCAACAGTGGTAGACATAACTGATGCAACAGCTGCCTCAGGAAACAAAACTGGTCAAAAATAGGGATGGTGGACAAAAGGGAGAGAGACCAAGGCAAATCTAAGGCATGAGCTAATAGAGCTGGCATACCAAAGCTGCTGAAAATATATCCTCAACTGCATTCCAAAGGAGAGGAGCGAACAACTTCAGAATCTCCTCTGAAGCCTGAACTGCAGGCAACAGGGTTGCAACCCATGGCACCAAAGCCTAAACATCCAGGCCGCCACTTGGCTGTTCAGAGAACAGCTCTACTACTTCCCAGACATGCAAAACAGCAGCCAGCCACAGACGAGTTAGGTGACCCTGCACAGCCTGGACCCCAGAGAGCATAAACAACTTTCCTAATGTAACCCATAGGCTGTAAACAGACCCAAATTCAAAGGATGCCGGATCCATCAAGGAAGCAAGGTCCTGATCCTGGAGGAGGAATTTAAACGAATCCACCCATGCTGACGAGAGTGAAAGATGGAGTCGAAAACCATCACCAATTAAAATGCCTTTGAGGGATAAAACAATCTATAAATGAACAAATCCACAAGTGCTGTTATGAGGGTTCACGGATTGAAATTCATTCAAATGAAGATTTGATATATAATGCTATTGTGATTTGTGTGTGTACACAATCTTTAAATGCACATGGGGAGTAACAGCTAAGAATCCAATTCAAACACTGATGGAGGAAACACAAGATCTTCCACCCAAAGTGAAAAATCAATAGAGACTAAACAGAGTTGAAGGGCACTTACAGACCATCCTCAAGCTCTTCCCCAACCAGGAGGCCCCACCAAGGAACAAAGACCTCGGGGCAAAACCACGCTCTGTGCTGGACACTAAAGACAAAGGCATCCACCACAAGGAAGGATCCTAGCCGACTGCAAACAGGCCAAATGGGATAATTTCATAGTGGAGACTATCTTATCTTGAGGTTATCTTGAGATGATTTCGGGGCTTTTTTTTTTTTTTTTTTAGTGTCCCCGCGGCCCGGTCCTCGACCAGCCCTTTACCCCCAGGAAGTAGCCCATGACAGCTGACTAACACCCAGGTACCTATTTTACTGCTAGGTAACAGGGGCATAGGGTGAAAGAAACTCTGCCCATTTTTTCTCGCCGGTGCCTGGGATCGAACCCAGGACCACAGGATCACAAGTCCAGTGTTCTGTCCGCTCGGCCGACCGGCTCCGTCTATTGAGATGGGGGAAGAGGAGGGGGGGGGGTCTGATTTTGGTTATTGTCTATGGCAGGCAGCCATAATTCAACAAGAGCCTGGTATGATACTCAAGGTTTGGAGGATTCAATGTGGGAAGCCTGGGTGACAAGAGAGAAGGGAGGGGAAAATTCTGCCAGGAAAGATATGAAGATGTAACACAGTTAGCCGCCTACGCACTATACAGGTTGCTGTAAATATGGCCTAAAAACCTCAGAAGGATGAGCGGGTTTAAGCCACAAGCTCCTACGCTCAGAAATCACAAACTCTTTAGACCATCCTGGAATTTATTGTAATGAAGCTTGTTGAATGAAGAATGAGAGAACCCACTATTTTTCTCTCTTCCAAGAGAGGCAAGATTAAGAGTAAGCTCAGAAAAGTCATCAAGAGCTGCAGTCTAGAAATGGAAATAAAACATCGAATATGATGAAATGTTCATTTCTGGGTAGCTCCATGGTAGCTTCCAGTTTCGGCAATGCTTGGTCCATTCTTTCCTCTGGAATCAGAGATCCTTCTGTATGGTTTGTTAGCAAGACAAGTGCCACACAATGCTGCCGATGACGTAGGTTGCCTTTTGGCAGACATCAAGCGAATTGTAGCAGAGGTTGTCCACCCATTGCCGCCTATCGTTTTCCTCGTTTCATAACTTCACTGCTTTTAAAAGAGAAGTGGTTGGTCTGTGAGGGAGGGGGGGAGGGGGGGGTGCCAGATTTGGATTGTGGCTTCAGGCTGGTGTATGCAAGTGTCAGGCCTGGTACAGGTTGGGAGACCTTGTATACTATTGGCCATGCTCATGGAAGCTTCCAAAGGTGCTTCCCAGAAAGAGCTGTTTGGTTACTTATAATACTAGCCCAAATAGAACTAGCCCAATTTAAGGGCTTTCTGTATACTAGTGTAAAATGCTCTGTACTTACAATCTCGTGCTTGTAATCTACGAAACTGCTTATCCAGGCAGCCATCATCATCATCTCTGAAATAAGAAACATAGAAAATTATAATGGCATACACACGATATATTTTAATCCAGTATATAATTATATTTATCTTTAAATGTTTGTGCAAGTATTTAGGTTATCTTGAGGTTATCTCGAGATGATTTCGGGGCTTTAGTGTCCCCGCGGCCCGGTCCTCTACCAGGCCTCCACCCCTAGGAAGCAGCCCGTGACAGCTGACTAACACCCAGGTACCTATTTTACTGCTAGGTAACAGGGGCATAGGGTGAAAGAAACTCTGCCCATTGTTTCTCGCCGGCGCCCGGGATCGAACCCGGGACCACAGGATCACAAGTCCAGTGTTCTGTCCGCTCGGCCGACCGGCTCCCTAGATAGTGGCATGTTGGGCCGAGAATTAAAAGTTAACTTTTTAACTTAATAAAATTGGCTAGTTTACCACCTAAGACTAGTAATTTTTCAGGAAGTACATATGGGAACCTTAAATGCAAGCTCTCTAGATAAATAAAATATTCTGCACTCGAGATCACGGTAAAAAATTGTGCCTGCTCAGCGTGCCGAACTGAAATGACTGTATAATCAGCTTTTATCATTCCCAGTATCTCACGCTGTATTTATTATGTACGAAGAGAAATAATGCACAAACAAGATGGTTAGTAAGGCCGATTCATCTCTATATATAACCAACAAATTTAGTTTATGAATCGATTGCAAACAGAATAGCGCATAATCTATTTTAACAGGACTCCATAATAGTTTAACTCACTCATTGGAGCTATCTTCTTCCTCTGGGTAGTCATTCCTCCAGTTGTCCTCATCGTTTTCATCGTCGTCATCATCTTCTATATTACGATCATCATCATCACTAGAGTCGGCAACATATTTCTGAACACTGGAAATTGGTTTAGCTAATAATATAAACAGTATTTATATTGTACATTTTAATTCAGAATTAAATTAAATATGATCCAGCTGTATTAAAGAAATCATGGGGAGGTATCTTTATATTGTCTTGGTACGACACTCTGCACCAGATATCTTCTTGGAAAAATATGAACTTTAAAATGCAGTTGTGATAAATATGAGACACAGACGAGAGACACACAGAAAGAGAGACACAGATGAGAGAGAGAGAGACACAGATGAGAGAGAGAGAGAGAGAGAGACACAGATGAGAGAGAGAGAGAGAGAGAGAGAGAGACACAGATGAGAGAGAGAGACACACAGAAAGAGAGAGACACAGAGAGAGAGACACAGAGAGAGAGACACAGATAAGGATTTAAATAAATTTATTAATCATTGTAGTCTAACATCTATTAACTTAGAAGTGAATTTTGACCAATCGATAATTTAGATTGATAGGCTATATTATTAATAAACCCCCCCAACTTGTGTAGGAAACTACTTGTGGGAAAAATTAAAATAGACCTGTACAGTATACTTTAATTTCGTACAGTCCGTTATCGAAATAAATTATTTAACAAATTAACTATAATTAAAATATAAATAAATTAATTATTTGTAATTAAAATAAATAATAAAATCCCAAGAGTCAGTTCCCCCCCCCCAAGAGACATGATACAGTCGTATAAAATACGCAAAGGGATCGACAAGGTGGGCACGGACGGAAGCTTGAGATTCAGTTGTGTCTCAGAGATGCTAGAAAGTTTTCTTTCAGCGTAAGGATAACGAGTAGATGGAATGACGTAAAGGAGCAGGTTACAGAGGCTATCTCCATTCATAACTTTAAAAGCAGGCACGATAGAGAAATTGGGCAGGAGTCATTGCATTAGATAACCAACGGCTGGAAAAGCAAAGTCCAAGAGCTAGAGCTTGATCCTGCACACACAAATAGGCAAGCTTGTTTGCTTGCTTGCTTGCTTGCTTGCTTGCTTGTTCGTTCACTCTTTCATGTACCATTACAAACCACTATCAATTTCTGGCAAGTATAACAGCATTACAAACCACTATCAATTTCTGGCAAGTATAATACTGTAATCTCATAACCGGTTATCAGGCTTCGTGCTAGGGGAGCCGGTCAGCCGAGCGGACAGCACGCTGGACTTGTGATCCTGTGGTCCTGGGTTTGATCCCAGGCACCAGCGAGAAACAATGGGCAGAGTTTCTTTCACCCTATGCCCCTGTTACCTAGCAGTAAAATAGGTACCTGGGTGTTAGTCAGCTGTCACAGGCTGCTTCCTGGGGGTGGAGGCCTGGTCGAGGACCGGGCCGCGGGGACACTAAAAAGCTCCGAAATCATCTCAAGATGACCTCAAGATAACCACTCGCTGTTTGCATGAAGTTCTAACAGCACACATTAAATATACCGTACTTTTGTATTTTAAATGTTTTTACCATGGTTTTTCAAAGTGCAATGATGCATTGGGTTGTAAATATTATTACGTCTCAATGTGTATAATATTGCTACATTATATACATATTATTGTCATTAATACAAGTTCAAACACTATATGCTTTGAACACTGTTTTTGCTGTTACACTATGTAAACAAGTTATATATACAGTATAACTCTACAAAATGAGCCACTAAGCTGACCTGGCGAGCACAAACCCAACATAGCATCAATACGCTAGTCAGCAGGCATCACCTGACATGGCATAATGCCTCAAATATAATATGCACAACCCTAACTCTAGGTACAATGCTGCTATCATCAGAATCCTGGTCCCTAATTACCGAATATGAATAGTTTTCCAAAAGTTTATTTTCTAAAGGTGCACGAGGTCGTTTCATGATGCGCAAGGGCACGAAACACTGGTCGAATGTGGCCGTTTGCGTCGTGCTGTGAACATCATATCTAGCATTATTATTATTCACCGATATTTAAACCTTAAACATAATCTATCACAGTCAGGATCATCCAGGACACTATTTTCCCCATAAAATCGGAGTTACTAATTTTATTTATTATTAAATGGTGCTATGGCCCCCAAGCTGCACGAGGGTGCCTAGAGCTCCTTGCTGCATGCGCTACCTTTAGTTGTTCACTGGGTACCGAGGCTCTCACAACCAGGAGAGATGCAGACAATTTTTTCAAGGTGTCATCTGTTTACTGAAGGCTTAAGGAACAGGATGCGAGCCCCCTTGTACCTGACGAGTTTTGAATTGCTCGGTATACCTACAAGTAAGTTTTCTTGGTGAGCACCACCTATCAAGCAAGTGCATCTCCAAGTGCAGTACAGGTTAAACACTCACCCTGTGAAGACAATCAAAGGGCTGGTTGTAAACCTGCAAGGGGCTTGCCTAGTCCCAAAGGTAGACCAAGCAGGAACTCCAAGTACAGGTGTCACTCACTGAATATTACAGACACCATAACAGCATAGGGCTAATGCTGCTGTCAAGGGTGCGCGCAGCCCACTGCATAACGAGCATACCAATAACCAGAGTGATACTTAAACGAAAACCCAGACTACCCCGTCCACAACCTCAAAGAGGAGTCAAAGATCCATACACTGCTAAGTGCAATGCACCTTCCAACTGGAAGCTTGCCCCAGCCGCTAATATACAGCCTCTCTAATATAAACAAAAAAAAGTAGTTAGTAAACAGTTGAGAGGCGGGGCCAAAAGAGAAGAGCTCAACCCCCGCAAACACAACTAGGCGAATACAACTAGGTGAATACAGCCTCCTAAATCCTCCAGAGTAAGTAACACTGACTAGACAGGGGGAAACACCAGCAAACACCAGCAAACACCAAGACATGATCACTAAACGAATGAAGTTCTAGCGAACAGCGAACAGTTCAAGCAAGAAGCGAGGCACGAGGACATACTCAATGTGAAGCAAACACCAAAATAAATCACAATTATACAAGCAAATGCCACCCACAGGACAGAGTGGGCCCAGGATGGCCAACACTTTACTGAAAAAGACTTGAAGGGTGCTGGGGGAGGGAAGAGGAGCGTAACAGCGATCATCAAAGACGCAAGAGCCAGGCAGCACGATGCCCGACTCGTATTCACCAAGGTGTCAAGGTCGGTGGATTGCAGTAGCCTTGTTCATGACTCTCCTGGCTTCACGGGTTCCATTTTCTATGCTTTGTTCACTTGCTGTTTGTATGTTTTGGTTCACCCACTTTTCTGTTGGCCTTTTCTTGGTTAGGCTGATCTACGATCCCCTGCCTGTTGCGGCTTTTTAAGGGGGAAAAATTTTTGCCTCTGGTCAGTCCTCAGTTGGACTACTACGACTTGCAAGAACCTGTCATGAAGTGAATTGGGTGGAACTTGCCAGATATCAAGCCCTGAGGAGCCACCAATTGTTATAAGCCCATTTTATGATTATAACAATTATAATCTTATAATTGTTATAATCATAAAATGGCACAAGAAAGTATATTTCAGATGATACAGAACTTTGGTTATTACAGGTGGTGGCCAATAGAAATCTGTCCAGGTGGAAATGTACTCCATGAAGGAACTTTTGGAGCCGTCACTATGCAAGATAACCTTTCAAAAAATATAAAATTGGTTCCAAAAGTGGTCCACCATGATCTTACACGGCTGCGCATAATCCCTCAAGTCCACAAAGTGGTCATTCAAATGATCTCAAAGCAAAACCTACATAAAATAAATCAATAGGACAAATATAATAAAACATGGCAAAAGTAGCAGGTTTTTCTCTACAACCGATACATAATTGGCTCTGAAATTTGATCTCATTTTCTCTAAAATTTTCTCTCTTTTCTCTATATAATTAGCTCTGAAATTTGATCTCATTTTCTCTAAAATTTTCTCTCTTTTCTCTATATAATTAGCTCTGAAATTTGATCTCATTTTCTCTAAAATTTTCTCTCTTTTCTCTATATAATTAGCTCTGAAATTTGATCTCATTTTCTCTAAAATTTTCTCTTTTCTCTACATAATTAGCTCTGAAATTTGCATTAATACCATCAAAGATTAACGGCAACAGATTTTAAGAAATATAAAATGCATCTATTCTTTAGCTCATACAAAAAGTAATTTAAAATAAATGAATTATAGTATAGAATATTCTCTAGAAAAAAACTCATCAAATTTAGGCAAGAATGTTTGTACAGTAACAAGTCTGGTCAAGTCATGATTATTTGTTTTCTCAATTGAATCTTGTGTCTTAAAGCTTCATTTTATGAACACAGCTGTGTCTCTCAAGTCAAACTGGCACTCATGAAACTGTTTATTAAACAGTAACATATGATACACAACAACTACAAGCATAACTGTAAAGTTCCTCTTACCAAGGAGAAAATATACTTACTTACAAATATAATCTGTCCAGTCCATATCTGTGACGGAGTAGAAGATGTCATACACGTACTTCTCGGACTCCATGGGTACACCATTACAGGTTATCACATCCGGCATCTGAAAAATCTTACACGACTTAAGATCTCTCTACGAAAGTCAACTGAAAACGGCACGTTACCATTCATGAAATTATTCAAGATGTATCCAATAGGCAATAGTTTTCCCTTAGCGCTTACATAAAAAACCGGCATTGAATGTAATGAAACGTCAATTTCTGGGCGAGCCTCGGTGGCTTCCCGAAGCCATACGCCGAGTTGGTACTATCTACTAGAATGCATCAGCTGTGTAGTCCTATAGGCCTACCGGAAACCAGCGCCAGAATCTGGCCCTTCCTCAAAGAGGAGCAAGGAGCACACACTTATTTGCCACCTCATTGGGAAAGGGAACCAAAAAGTCAGTCGAAAACTATTGCTAGATTCCAAAGAGAGACCGAAACCTCAAAACCTGCTTAAAGTACTCCCTCAACTATGTAAACAAAGTATTGAATCGTCTCAAAACCAATGCGAGCTTGTTGAACCCACCTCCCCCACTCATGTGGGGGGAAGGGGGAAGGGGACGATAGCTCACCACCTGCCAGTTTTAGAGCAGATGTAAACATCCACCAGACGACCTTTTAGACGACCTAAAAGATAGGGAGGGGGGGATCAGGGAGTCACTGGGGTCACCCAGAAATTGGCATTTCATTACATTTGATGACGTTTTTCTGGGGAAATGCCCCTTGTGGCTCCGTGAAGCAAACTACCCATAGAGAAGAACAAACACTTTTGGGACCACAGAGCCGCAGCTTAACCCCTGCAAGTACAACTTGGCAAGTACATGGGAAATCAGCAGTGAGGAGGGAGCACCGTAGGAGTCACGACGAAGACGTGACCCCCAGCCGAGACACGATCCAAAGCCACACAAGGGTGCTGAAGTCCAGAAACTTCACCAAATACCGGGCTGCCAAAACCCTTGTTTAACCTCCGACATTCATGCACCCGATTATAAGCTTGGGACACATTCGCAAACACAGCTGAAAAAGTGGCAAACTTCTTGACATAGGCACAAGGGTAAACCACAGGCTGGTTAGACTGAACACTGCGAATGACCTGGGAAATATGAGCCTCGGACAAGGGGCCAAAGAAACAGGTTTAACCCATAAGGCGTCCACTGAAGCAGAATCGGTGGCACAAAGGTAGAGGCGGAGAGCCACCACCATACTCGGTACATGATGCACCCCTGACTGAACCAACCACACTAAAGGACCCCTTTGGAAGCCAACCGACTAGTTCTTCACCAGAGAAGGAACCAGCTGCTATGAACACAACACCCACCAAAGCCAAAATAACAAAAACCTTGCCTAAGGAGAGGCTAGAGAAACAAAAACAGCTTTCAATCGACAATGAATTCAAGGACATTGTCGATGTCCTTGAGGACAACCTCATTGACATCGAGGTTGTTGATGAGGACAGCCTTCTCCTCAGCAAGAGTCGAGAAGGAACCTGGGTAGAGTTGCCGTAGACCCACATCCCAAAAAAGAGCAGGAGCAAACAGGCAGTCATTGGGATGCAAAAGAAAGGCCCAAACTCAAAAGAGGCAGTGTCCATCAATGAGGAATAGTCTGGCTCTCTCAGTAGGTACATCAGGAGTGCTTCCTGAGCCACCACAGGAGGGACTCAGAGAGGAAGGAAACTGAAGGATGATCCTGATGGGGCCCAAAAGTGCACACAACTGAACCCTGGGAAAACCACACCCCAAATCATAATTATATAGGGAGGGAGGACAAGAACCCCCCCCCCCCTTCCCCTGCAAAAGAAGACCCCTCCTTCAAGGGAACCAGGAACCACACAGTCGAACAAGACCCGAGGGCTCATATCCGATTTTGCCCAAAACCCTGGAAGTAGTCAAAGGCCCTGGGGCAGAGCCACCATCTGCATGCACTTCCTGAGATAGAAAAGTAGAGTTCAAGGGAGAGGCTAGCTGAAAAGAGACCCAGAAGCCTCAGCAGGACCAGCTAGCTCAACTGCCTCCAATCCCAATTCTCAAGCTGAAACCCGCAGAGCTATCCGAGCCACGTTCTGAGCTAAACCCTGAACCGACCCAGAAACCCTCGGACACTTCAGGGCCAGAAGTAGGGATGAGGAAGAGGGGAAAGGAAAAGTGCAAATGTAGCCAAGGTGGGATGCACAAACCTCTCCAGTTCTAGGTTCCTAAACACCAACTGGAAATGAGCTGTAGCTCCAGGTCAACTAATCTGACACACAAACTAAACTGCTGTAACCTAGGAAAATGAACATGCGAAGTGGTCGCTGCCTGGCAAGCCCCAAACTCATCACTAAGGGTCCAAAAGAAGAGCCATATAGGGAGGGCAAACCCCACAAAACTCATGGCCAAAGTTGACATTGATCCACCAGCAGCATGGGGGCAAGGGGCAGAAGGAATTATCGTTGCCAAGTAGTATGGACAACGAGCAACCCACAAACTAACAAAGCGAGAGCAGGTTCAAGAAGCACAGTACAGTGGAACCTCGGTTCTCGTATGCCCCTGTTCTCGTATTTTTCGGTACTCGTACTCACTTTCTCCAAAAAATTCGATTCAGTACTTGTTGTTTACCTCTGTGTTTGGAATTCATTTATACACATAGTCGTACCCGATCTGGTTTAAAACAACTGGCCCCCAAGGCTCCCGACTCACCCTGGGCGAGTGCCACCACAAGCGAGGACCTCTAAGGAGCAACTCTCGAACACTTCAGAGAAGATAAGTGGTGATGCAAGGGCACCTCTGGGGAGCACACAAAAAAAGGAACCTGAGAAAATGTAGCTCCAAGCACTCTTAAAACTGAGCTCAAGCTATAGTTTTAATAGCCAGTGTACAGGAAATGCCATCAATGGCAGATACCACACCACTTAGCTGAACATGCAGAACACCAGAGCCAGCACAGATGAAAGGGGACCCAGTATACATCAGCTATAGAACTGGCTGCTTAGACCCAAACAGGCAGTGAGCAATCTCCCCTTTCCTTACAAACGAATGGAGAAAATGAGGCAAACGCGTTCGCACTAATTCCGAGAGAATACGATCGTTTGTTTTCATAGCAGAAAGTTCTTCAGGCACGCTTTGAGGCTTCAGTCTTGAATCCTGTAGTAGTTTGTTTTTACTCTTTACTTTCTGGTTGCCTTCCCTAGTAAGGTTGCACATATCACTACTTCCTGCACCTCTGAGGGGAGAAGAGCGAGGTTCTGGCACTGGTCCCTGGTCGGCCTATAGAACTCCCCAGCTGATGCAACCTAGTAGATGGTACCATCTCAGTGTATATCTTCAGAGAGCCACAAGGGGCTCCCCACCATAAAAAGAAAATGTATTATCTAAATATGCAGATTTATCTGAAAATTAATATAGAAATGATATTTGTAATACAGTGGCATCTCAATACTCAAACTTGGGGCTGGATCAAGACTAAGTGAACTTTTATAAGCCACACTGGTTGACTAGTGAACATTGAAATGAGCTGTAGTCCTGCAAATACAAAAAGATTGTGTGAAGCAATGCAATTGCAAAAATATTTCCTTGATGCATAGCCTTTGTGTGCGCAAGAGGAAGTATACCCAGCACCAGCAGTCTGGTATTCTGCGAGACAAGGCTGAAACCGACCGTGCGAATGATCGGGTCGTGTTATGAATGTATGCAATACAAATGCTATGTTTTAAACTCTTCACAAATGCAGTTTTTAAATAAAATATTCATCATAAATCACACTTTTTCTTACAAGACCAATTCCACAAAGTAATTAGTGATGCCTCATTATCAAGATCTATTCACAAACTGAGCCATTTCTATGCTAATGCTTGTATAATGACATAGAAAATAGTTTTGTATCTTGGTGCTGCACAATATGATACTGATTCTTTAACCCTTTCACTCGCTTGCCTCATTCACTCTGCCAACACTTGCTCGTTCCCCGATTCAAAACACACACACACACACACACACACTGTGATGTGGTGGAGGCTGACTCCATACACAGTTTCAAATGTAGATATGATAGAGTCCAGTAGGCTCAGGAACCTGTACACCAGTTGATTGACAGTTGAGAGGCGGGACCAAAGAGCTAAAGCTCAACCCCCGCAAGCACAAATAGGCGAGTACAAATAGGCGAGTACACACACACACACACACTTGCCTGCTTGACACACCCCAAGCATACTTGTTCCACCCCTCTCACACTCGCTTGCTTTATCACGCAGACAAAGCACTGGTTCACCCCCAATCATGCTTGGTTACCAGGGTTCCGTAAGTCATATCTTACATCTTCCGATAGAAACTCTGCATCGTAGTACTTGATTTGATCACAGAATGATGGGGATGGAGAACACTTCACTACTTCAGTCTCATCGGCTTCATGGACGTCTTCCTTCTTATCCTGCATCACTTTCTCCTCTTTAACTTCTTCTGGCTCGCCATCATCCACATTTCCTCGGTATTTAACAAGGACCTGTACAATAAAAAGGAACACTGATTAATGAACTTGAGGTTATCTCGAGATGATTTCGGGGCTTTAGTGTCCCCGCGGCCCGGTCCTCGACCAGGCCTCCACCCCCAGGAAGCAGCCCGTGACAGCTGACTAACACCCAGGTACCTATTTTACTGCTAGGTAACAGGGGCATAGGGTGAAAGAAACTCTGCCCATTGTTTCTCGCTGGCGCCTGGGATCGAACCCAGGACCACAGGATCACAAGTCCAGTGTGCTGTCCGCTCGGCCGACCAGCTCTTCCCCCCCTCCCGAACTGTCATTAAAAAAAAGAAAATGTACTTAAAGGTGAGAGCAGAATATCTATAGGCTACACTGAACCTGTAGGGGATTCACAGGTTATGAAGGACAAATTAAGGAGGACACCTGGGCACTGGGGATGTTTGCCAGATATATTACAGCAAACAGACAGTCTGGGATACTCGGCTGTGAAGGCCGACCATGGTTTGCCGAGTGGACAAGTGTGTGAACCACCAGTGTGCCCTACTCAGCCAGTGCTCTATCTCAACCTGGGGCCTAGACATGGGTAACAAGATCCTTGACTCACCCAAGGCTTCTTCTGAAGCATGTGAAGTTTGTCTGAAACATGTTCCGTCGAGGAAAGCCAGAAAGAGGTACAATGTAGATAGAGAACGCAGACAACACTTCAAAAGAAGAATAGAAATAGCGGAAATGCTTAACACTTTTGTCCGCCGAAGACGGAATCTGCATCCATTAATAACTTTACGGATGTCCGGCGGGAACGCATGTTGCGTCCAAAATTTAAAAGATTTGTTAAAATTCAATTTGCTTCTTGATCATCATGGGACTAGTTTTAAAATGTGCGCCTTTATATTGCAAACAGTTTGATACCAGAATAAACGACGTAGCATGTAAATTGAGGCGAGAAAACGGAACAGAATATACATATTTTAGTTGTGGCGTGCGGCTGGGTGCTCGCTCACAGGTAACGCTTGGCTGAATTTTTGGCTTTCCTGTGGGGGGCAGGGGTGGGGGGGGGGGTGGGGCAGGGGGCAGGCTTTTTTAACCTTATATGCATATACTTTGGTAGGGAAATCTATTGCGAACAAATTGATACCAAAATGAACAACGTAGCACAAGATTTGAGGTGGGAAAACTGAAAAGCAGAATACACATTTTAGTGCTGTTGCGTGCTCATAGGGAACGCTCAGCTGATTTTGGGGTTTGGTGCAGGTGGCATGCCGGACATTTGACCTTGTATGCATATACCCCTGTAGGGAATTCTATTTCGAACAATTCAATACCAAAATGAACGACGTACAACGAAAATCGAGGTGAGAAAACTGAAAAGAGAACACATTTTAGTGTGGTTACACGCTCACACGAAATGCTCGGCCAACTTTAGGGGTAGGCTGGGGTACACATGCCAGGAAAGCGAAAGTGTTAAGCAGACAACTTTCCATACAAAGAAATATTTAAACAGGGAGATTGAAGAAATCGAACAGAGACAAGCATTCATATTAGATTGAAGAAAGGCAACTAGAACAGGAAAGCAACTATAAAGAAGTTCCTGTAAAACAGTTTAATAAGGGGTACAAGTGTTGTACCCCTTATTGTTACGAACCCGAATCCAGCGTCCGAGCCTGGAGCAGTGACAACCACGCCATCTGTGGGTCAGCTCCTGAAACCCCCGCCAAATGGACGACGACACCTGGTGAGGACAAGGTGTACCAGCCACGAGGGCCAGTTTCCAGTCCTGTGCAGCTCACAACACAGCCGCTCCTGACCTCTGGTGAGGTGGTGCTCCGACAACAGCGCCATCTATGGACTGGATACGTCAGGTGTTTGTGCCCGAGCCCGTAAGCGAGGTGTTTTAGTGTGTCCCAGTCATTGATGACGTGTCTGTTTACAGAGTCGACCTGGGACTACTGTGATGGGAGTCGAGTCAGTCTACCCGAGGCAGCCAGTCTCCATACCTTGAACGTTGCTGCAGCTGTTGTGAAGTCGTCCCCCCGGAAGAACACTGTGGTGTGTTAGCCTGCCAGTGGAGTGGCAGTAAAAGGATTTACCCGGGACCGACTGTTGGAGACGATCATCCACTGGAGTACTGAAGACAGGAGAGTGACTTGTGTTGTCACACGAGGCTCCTGTCTAGGGCGTTCCCCTTTAATCGTTCGTGGAGTGGCCGTACCAGCCTTGTTGGCTCAGAACCTGCCAGCAGACCAGCTGGACGTGTGGTTGACGGCCTCCACGGCGGTGCCCCCAGTGGACCTGTGTTTTGGCTGACCTGTGGCCCGGGTAGGCTCGGCATTCTCAGAGGACACGTCTTGAGGCCACGAAGAAAGCACCGCGGACTCAGCACCTAGCTTCTTGATCCAGAGTCTTCAGCAGAAGACTAATTTGTGAATAATCCCCTTGTCTAGTGTTAATACCCCTCCCCCTTGTGCACTCATTAATTTTATATATTTAAACGGTGATGGTAATAATTATAATTCAGCAGTCTCCGTGGCGCAGTGGTAAGATACTCGCCTGGCGTTTCGCAAGCGCCTTGCCTTGGGTTCGAATCCTGGCCGGGGAGGATTGACCGGGTGCCAATCCTTAACTGTAGCCTCTGTTCACCCAGCAGTGAATGGGTACCTGGTTGTTAAACGATTCGGCGGGGTCGTATTCCGGGGAAATTAGGGTTAAGGACCTTGCCCGAAACGCTACGCGTAATAGTGGCTTTACAAGAATGTAAAAACTCTTGTATATACCAATTAACCATTAACAATTAACCATAATATTAAGTTCTTAACTTTCTTTCCCTACTCCCTTTAAGTTACTTGCATCACGGATCTCATCCCTTGATAGCCACTACTGGCTTGGGAACGGATACATTATATCTTCCTCTAACAACATCAGAGTAAGGACCCCGTTGCGTCCCGAGAGGGCCGTAACATGTTAGTTTACTCTTCGGAGGTTGCGTGGAGTTTCACCTTTCTTTTTATGACGTCTTCAACGGTTTTGTTGACCGTTGAAGTCAACAACGGTTTTGTTGAAGAGTCAACTAACACAGCACTTATACCCCCCAATTAGACTGTTTTACAGGAACTTCTTTTCGACGACTGATAAAACAGAGGAAAGGGTCCTGAAAGATATTATTGATAGAAACGTTATCCCTACAGACAAAAATCAGAAAATACAATTGGCAATCTACTACAAAAAAAAAAAAAAAAAAAAAAAAAAAAAAACAGCCAACGTACTCATGAAAAACTCTCCAGACACCAAACAGAACGCCTTGAAGGAAACCAACGTCGTCTATGCCTTCACATGCCCGCTTGGGGCCTGTAATCCCCAAAGAACTCAGTATATAGGCAAGACAACAACGTCTCTTTCCAGGCGATTAACTGCACAAACAACAGGGCTCCATCAAGGAACATATAATATCTTCTCACAACCAGACCATCACCAGAGAAATCTTAACAAGCAACACAGAACTCATCAATAAATACAGCGATAGACTTGACATCAGCGAGGCACTACACATCAAAAAGTCAACACCAGCAATCGACAGCCAATTAATGCACAACTACGGGTATATTCTACCCACTTCAAGACCCCGAACCAATATGAAAGCAGCAAGAAGTATGGGCCAATAGGCCTTCTGCAGTTATTTCCATTCTTATGTTCTCATACCCATTGTTTCGTGTTCTGTCTTATATTTCACCTCGCCCAAAACTTTTGTCCCATATCACCTCACCCAAAAACGAGTACAAGTATGAATGTATTGTGCATGTAAATCAAGTCTTTGAAAATGTAATAAGGAATTACGAAACGCGTTTAGACGTCAGACTAGGAATAAAAATTAATTTTGGAGAGTTACTTTATCAATTACCCTCGACAGTGAAGAAGAACGTAAGAAATATTGAGAAGATTCGTGTTAGAATTATTAATCTTACCCTTTTGGTCATATTCAATAACATATGTTTACAAGAAAGACTGCTACCAGTCTTAGCTATGTGAAGCTATGCGGTGGGTGTTCCCAGGCACCCATGCACACGCCCTAGTCAACTAGGTCACGACATGATAAAATGATTGCAACCAAGAGTTCTGATGAACTCATGATGGTTTCCTAATTTTTTGCCCAATATATTCATTAGCTTTGTCAGTACAGATATGTACTAGCTATAAAATTCATAGTATAAACATAATTGTTACCATACTGCCGTGTGCAACGAATTACAGCATTTAAAAAGACAGGGAATGCACAAACAAAAGTAATGACTCACCATATATCGCTTGTTCTTGATCCTCTCTTTGGCTTCAAGCTTGGCAGTATCCCGATATGACCCGGGTTTACCCAGTTTTTTGTACTGCTCTCGTAACTCCCATCCTTTCTTATATTCCTTTTCTATGGTCTTCAGCAGTTCTGGTTTCAGAAGTTCATCCTGAAAAATTAATATAAAATAAATTGATTCAATCAGCATGTCTTAATCACTGCAGTGCGCCCCTGTTCAATATGACGACTCCGTGGCACGCACAAAAAAATTACAGAAAAATTATTTGTATCTAATAGTGAAAATGCATTCCCTGATCACAGGGGACTACAAAAAATTTCTGTAGGTTTCTGTGGATATGGTCGAGAGAGGAAAATCATCCTCAATTCATAAGTGCTGATTAACAAGGTCAGGGTTCTGAAAACCGTGAAGGTCTATCAGGCCAGGTGGGCAGCAGAAATTACCACGAATATATTTACAGATTTATATCAACGTCACAGACTTTTTTTTTTTCAGCTATTTTGAGAAATGTCTACAATAAATTATGCAGAACATAATTATACATAACATTTGTGTCACTAACATACATAGATTCTTTGGACAAAAAAATACCATTTTAGCCATTATTAGTATTATGCTGTACACACAACCTACATTTCAAGTGCCGATTGAAACCATTAAAAGATTGTGTACTTACAGTACTATGAACATCACTAATCTAGTCACAACACTGCTATTATTATTAGATTCCTGCCACTACATCATAAATAATAATTTTCAACAATTTTCAAAATGAACAAGAGGTCATATATTCATAATGTGTAGAGACACATGAAACTGCAGTTGTGTGCTGTGAATGCCTACCTATTGCTGTGATCATAACCAGCATTGTGTTCACTTTTATCTGAACCTTGTACATGGATGATCTTGACCGAGGTAAAGACCGATACACTCCAAAAATAATCAGTTAATTTATTCATCATTATCGAGTGGTGCAGAAGTATCGAACTGCATGGCACTGATGCGAGCTCTTGCTGCATGCACTACCCTTGGTTGCTCAGTGAGTAACAAGGCTCTCAGTCAGGAAAGGATACAGACAATACACACAGAAATCCCAATTGCGTGATGCATCAAATGAACAAATCCACAAGGGCCGTGATGAGGATTCGAACCTGCGTCCGAGAGCATTCCAGACGCTGCGTTAATCGACCGAGCTACGACATGGTCAAATGACATGGTCGATACAGACAATTTTGTTTATCCCAAGAAGGTGTCTGTTTACTGGAGGTTTGAGAAAGCAGATGCAAGCCCAGTGAACCGATGGGAGTTTTTAATAATTTGCTAAACTTACAATGAATTTTCTCAGCATGTACTACCCATCAAACAAGATACTGTATCTCAATGAGTGCAGTAAAGAGGTTAATTTACCTGCAACCCCCCTGATTTTGGGGGTTCAGTTCATAAGAGCTGAACCCCCTAAATCTATTCATCTGGATTCCGAGTGTTCGTCTTTTTGGGATAATTAAAGAAATTTTGGGAAGTTTCCTTGAAGCAAACTACAGAAAACTCATCTTTGAATATGGACTTATAAATATTATATAAACCAACTTTTATACAAAAACATTAAATTTTTTTAACATCAAATGTACCTGCTTGCTTTCTTGCTTTCATTACAAGAAGCTTTCTTGTAATGAAACATCTTTTTCCCAATAGGCGCTCTGTAGCTCTAGGGAGTTTAAGCGCTGGTAATGCCAAGCTTTAATATTGTACCACGCTTCCAAGACCCACTTTAACCTGGGAGCCAGAATCAGAATCTGGCTTTCCAAGAGACATAGGAACCATGGACATCAAATGGGTTCAAAACTGATAATGGTAAGGTATTATCACAGATATAATAACATAGGATAAAAAACCCACATTTGTGTATGTTTTTTTTTATGTAACAATTTGAACTATAGCAAGTCTTTCACTCTTCTGAGTGCATCTTGAGGTTATCTTGAGATGATTTCGGGGCTTTAGTGTCCCCGCGGCCCGGTCCTCGACCAGGCCTCCATCCCCAGGAAGTAGCCTGTGACAGCTGACTAACACCCAGGTACCTATTTTACTGCTAGGTAACAGGGGCATAGGATGAAAGAAACTCTGCCCATTGTTTCTCGCCGGCGCCCGGGATCGAACCCAGGACCACAGGATCACAAGTCCAGCGTGCTGTCCGCTCGGCCGACCGGTCGGCATTACCAAGAACTGAGTATAGACTCATCACATGACCAGTAATCGTTATGATGCAAGTCTTGTCCAAACCATACACTCAGACGAGTCCTCTACCGTCCAGCCCAAGTGGTTGGGTGTTTAGAAGAGGAGATACCATCTAGGATGGACAGAGCAACAGAAGAGGAAAAAAATCAATGAGAAAATAGTAGTTTTAGGGAAAGGCCTATCAATAAAGGAAAACGTTCGCAATTTTCAGAGAATTGGAAAACTCGTAAAAGGCAAGATTTGCCCTTTAAGGGATACATTAAACGAAGTGAAGCAAATGACGGAAGTGCATAGAAATGCCAAGAAATTTAAAAATGATGAGGATGGGAAACAACGATCATTAAGACAAGACCTTTCAAAGGAAGACAGAAGATGAAACTTAACCCATCTGAAGTAAAACGTTTAAATGAGAATACTGTACAAGATTTTTTTCTACGAGGTGACAGGGATTGGCAAGCTGGCGAGATGGTACACAACGGCATACCAACAAAATCGTTAGAAGAAAGAAGAGTGAATGCACAAGGAGGAGGAGAAACATGTTCCTGAAAATTGTGTATACAACAGATAGGGAAGGGCGAGTTAAATGATAATATAGCTTGAAGATGCCAGATATTGTTGCACTAGCAGAGATGAAACTGAATGATAAAATTTAAAACAAGGTGGTATAGTATTCCCGAGGGGCCATGCTATTCAATGATGCAACAAAAAAAATTAAGAAAAGCTAGGGGGGGAGGGAGGGGGGTGGGGTGTTGCTGTCATAGTGAAGGAACGACCAAGGGCAAGAGAACTAATACTTGACAACCCTCAAGAAGTAGACAATGGCTCTGGAGATTTGTAGTCAGAATAATAAACTAATAACAGTTCACTGCTGCCACGATCATTCCGTGCTGACCCCGATTGCTTTTTTCCAGCTGCTACGTTGCCGGCTTCCTACTTGTGCTTTTTAAGGTTCAGTTCCTCGGTGCCTTCCTCTGCCCTCGCTCAACTTCTTTACGGACACCTTGGTTCTTGGTTTAGGCATTGCGACAGGCACTTGCCAGGACACTCAGGGTCGTTTTTCTTTTTATTTGGTTGCACAGTACAGCATGGGAGATTGCAACCATGTGGCATGCCCTGACGCGGTTTCCGATTCCTCCGGGCTCCGTACTCTGGCTCCATGGTTGGACTTGCTTCGGTCAGTTGTCATTTGGAGCGGGACATTGCATGTAACTCATCTGCTAGCTTCATCAAGTTTGGTTCTCCACATAATTCACATTCAGAGAATGTCCAACTCTAGCAGACAATCTGTCCCAGTTCCTTCCTGTCCCCATGCTACACCACAAATATACAAAACAAAAGCACACAGGACAAAGTCCAGAGAAGCACTTTGCTGGAAAAAAAAAAAAAAATAGACCAGTCACAGCTACCGATGATCCTGGTGCCCTACTACAGTTGTTTGGAAGGTGTCGCATCAGTGGAGGAACCGAGGGCTTGAGCCAGTGGACATCAAGAGCCCTGGCCATCCATCCCTCCCTCCCTCCCAAAATGAGTTGGAGACTCGTGGTGAATGAGTGCATGCTCGTTTTGAGAAAGTTTTGATCATTTGTGTACATTGTTGGAAGAGTTCTTTAGGAGGGTTGTGACTTATCTGGTCTTTAGTACCCAGCAGAAGTCTGTATTAGTTTGCCGACTTTTTGCGTGGCGTTCTCAGCGAAGTGGCAGAGCGTTACCTGCTCAAATGATATACAATTCAATAATATAACTGAAAAAAATCAAGACAGAAATACAGTAAATTTAAAAATGATCTTCACAGCAACTCCTGCCCCATGTCTAGCCTGGGACACTTTCACAGGGCAACTGCTCCATCGTGTCATCACGAGATTTCCTTAGCTTCACCATGGCCAAAGTCAAAATTCTTTAATAATTTTCCTATGATCTGGGAATGCCTTTTAAATATATTAATAGAAAAAATGTATAATTTTCCTGCACACCACAATATTGTCTAGTATAAACAGGGGGGTACAGCCCAAGGGTTTCTGTACTGAGAGATCTCTAATGTTAGTACAATACTATATACACACACACCAGTGCATCAAAGAAAAACCAAATCAAATCCAGAATTTTGTAGAGATCAGTCAAATATACAGGTACAACAAAAACTGAACCAACAAAAGAAATCCACAAGGGCCGTGACGTGGATTCGAACCTGCGTCCAGGAGCATCCCAGACACTGCCTTAATCGACTGAGCAGTGTCTGGGATGCTCCCGGACGCAGGTTTGAATCCTCGTCACGGCCCTTGTGGATTTGTTCACTTGATGCATCACGCTAGTGTGATCTCTGTGTGTGCTGAACCAACAACCTTCACATCCTTAAAATGGAAACTTCACCTTTGAATTTACAGTTGCAACTCTCTTCAGAATAGTCGGCACAGCATTTTTAGAGTCATCAGCAGCTGTGCACTCAGTCCGCAACCGTTTAGACTCCACAACGATAGCAGGCGACGGTTCCTCAGAAAATCGGCGCTTGATGCGAATTAATGTAGCCATCCTCGATATTTATTTCTGAAAGATAACCCGTTGTTGTATTTTTTTTACTCTAAAAATAAGCAATTTAATGAAGGTAAACGCTGCGCGTATTAGTGGCTTTACAAGAGTGTAAATACTGTACCATGCTATGTATTCTCACAAACCCAATGTACCTTCTTGTATATAAATAAATAAATAAATAAGGTAGGCTGTAAATATAAAAAAAATGAAAACTGGTTTCAAAATGGAGAAAATAAGTAAAGCTCCAATCTCGAGTATAAGACTATTTGATGGTTAGGCTAAAGCTCAATTTGGTTAATAAGGCTAGACTTTACGAATGAGTAGATAAATCAAGACATTTTAACAGAATCTACCATTCACTGGAAGTCGCACAAGTAGGAGCAGCAGTATATACTGTGTGTGTGTTTTATTTATATATTATATATATTTATATTATATATATATATATATATATATATATGTCGTACCTAGTAGCCAGAACTCACTTCTCAGCCTACTATTCAAGGCCCGATTTGCCTAATAAGCCAAGTTTTCCTGAATTAATATATTTACTATAATTTTTTTCTTATGACATGATAAAGCAACCCTTTTCTCTATGTATGAGGTCAATTTTTTTTTATTGGAGTTAAAAGTAACGTAGATATATGACCGAACCTAACCAACCCTACCTAACCTAACCTAACCTATATTTATAGGTAAGGTTAGGTTAGGTAGCCAAAAAAAGCTAGGTTAGGTTAGGTTGGTTAGGTAGACGAAAAAACATTAATTCATGAAAACTTGGCTTATTAGGCAAATCGGGCCTTGAATACTAGGCTGAGAAGTGCGTTCTGGCTATTAGGTACGACATATATATATATATATATATATATATATATATATATATATATATATATATATATATATATATATATATATATATATATATATATATATATATATATATATATATATATATATATATATATATATATATATATATATATATATATATTATATATATATATATATATATATATATTATATATAATATAATATATATATATATATAATAATAATAATAAATAATAATAAATAATAATAATAATAAAAATTAACCAAATTTGCGGAGTAATCAAGCATACCTTTGACTAAGGAAAAGAAGGTACATATTCAACTTCTAGCGAATAAATTATCCCAATAATATAAATCTTTGGTGTGCCCCACTTGGATTATTGTATCCAAACATGGAGACTCCGTCGTCAGAAGAACACAGCTGCTTTGGAGAGTTCAACACCGGGCAACACACATCATTCCAGAACCAAGTCAACTCTCGTACCAGGAGCGGTCGAGGGCCACAGGTCTAACACTGCAAACCAGGCTTGATAGGGTGGATTTCATCGAAATTTCAAATACTCAGGACTGACCAATTTGGAGGATGTTGATCCAGACAAAGTCTTTAAAATGCCAGATGTACCACAAACAAGGAGGAACTACTGTATTTCAAGCCCAACAAGCAGGGAGCCGGTCGGCCGAGCGGACAGCACACAGGACTTGTGATCCTGTGGTCCCGGGTTCGATCCCGGGCGCCGGCGAGATACAATGGGCAGAGTTTCTTTCACCCCTATGCCCCAGTAAAATAGGTACCTGGGAGTTAGTCAGCTGTCACGGGCTGCTTATTGAGGGGACGGGGTGGAGGCCTGGTCGAGGACCGGGCCGCGGGGACACTAAAGCCCCGAAATCATCTCAAGATAACACAATATAGGACAGAAAACAAGAGATGCATTTTCCCACCTACAGGGTTATAAACCCACGGAGCCACCTACCAGCCGAAGCCGTATATACCAAACACTTGCATTTTAAAATCCAGCTTGCAAACAAAATTATCAGGACGAATTGGGGGTCCATTGAAAAGCCGCTGGCTTCCTGTCCTCATCGAGACCACTAGTATTAATGGCCCTCGGGTAAATATTATACAACAGTAACCCCACACTAGACGAGATTGTGTTGGGTGAGGATGTATTGCCCTTTATTATGCCCCCCATACCCATCTTGTGGGCGGTAGTGGAAAGGGTTACAGAGGCCCATAATGGGCTCAGGGACTGAACCCCACAATTCATTTAGCTAAGCAAGTTACAATCTTGATGAGCTAGTTACAAAATTCTGTATATGGCTTCGAGATCGATTGTAGCCAAGAGAGGTCGTGACTGGCCGACTGCTCAACAATCCTTCCCACAAAACACAATCCCAAACTGAAACTCTAAATTACCTATATAAAACTAGACAACAATCAAAGTTTTCGCCATGTACTTCGTCCATGTAATGATTGACTAATATTACATTGACAATATCGTCCACAATCTGAATTATTAAACGTTAAAATAGCCAAATAACTCACCACAATCAGCTGTCGCCACTCACCTCTGGGGATGTGGTGTCCTGATCTAACGGCGCTGACTTCGGTACACCACCGAGGTTAAATAACATTATTTAATATACACAAGATGAAAGTATTATCCCTTTATTAAACAATGTTTTTTTTATTCTTTCATATTTATTATTAAATGTGATTTACTATACACGTAAAGTACTTTAATCGGTGTTATGTATATTAAATAAAAATGTTCTGGAAGATAGTTCGAACACAACAGCAATAACAAATACAATACCAAAACACGAATACATTGGGATAAAACAGATTTTATTTTTTTTGTATTAACATGTTTAGGTATACACAACAATGTGCTGCTACCCTATTCTATATGAGACATTACACAGTGTAGATCAAAATCTAGCTATAAGTTCAACTAATGGCCGAAACGCTATGCGTACTAGTGGCTTTGCGAGATTGTAAATACTATGCTATGTATTCTCTCTAACCCAATGTACCTTCTTGTATATAAATAAATAAAGTAAATAAATATATAAATATATATATATATAGGTATTGTATGTACTACCTCCCGCCAAACACACACCGAAACTAAGACGTTGCTACAACGTTCGAACATGTTTTTAACACTACCTAACCAGTTATAACAACGTTCTAATACGTCATAAACATGTTAAGCCAAGATGTAACAACTTTATTCCTAGTTGTAACAAGCGGAAAATAGAGACAGTTACAGTTTGTGTTTTCAGGGAGCTCTATCATGAAATCTAACAGAATGTTTGTACCGTAACTCTGCAACTATGTATGTACTGTTCATAAATAAATTATTATTATTATTATTATTATTATTATTATTATTATTATTATTATTATTATTATTATTATTATTATTATTATTATTTTATTATTATTATTAAAACCACTAATACGCATAGCGTTTCGGGCAAGGTGTTGGGGGGGGGGGCACCTAGTAAAGTAAAATAGACTAAAAGACTAAACTTAGACTAAACTAACTTAGACTAAAACTTAATAATAATTGGGATTAGGTATAAATTGTGTTGAGGAATAAAAAATAAAAAAGGGGGAACATGGCAGAAATCAGCAATTGTACAAGTTGGTAAACAAAAAGTAAGACATGGGCAGGGGGGAGGAGGCGTCATGGCGACTGGTGAGGTTCACGCAGCGTCTCTCCTACAAATATTGACGATACCTTTGAGGACACTGCACAGCACCGCTCCTGTGCCAGGTAAGTCCACAACGGGCTCACCATAGCCCGTGCTACTTGCCCCGCTCCTGTGCCAGGTAAGTACACTACGGGCTCACCATAGCCCGTGCTACTTGGAACTTTTTATTCCAAGTAGCGAATCATAACACTTTCCTGCCCCTACACTTGGATGTACGGGCTGTTTATTTAAGCGCTTGTGAGGTCGCGTCGTACATTTGCGGCCCGTGTTATAGTGGGTATATACTACTCGATCGACTTGGGGTTTGTATGAATATGTTTGCCATTAAATTTCCGTTTTCTCTAATAGGCACAGTACCTATTTGAGAAAACGGCATTGTATTGTAACTTAGAGGAGAGACTATTGAGTTGGTGACACAACGAGGGTAATCGCCCACTTCACACACTCTTGTGTTGGCCGCGATCATGATTCTACATTTATATGCATATGTCTGTGTAGAGAATTTTATTGCGAGTTCAGTGATATAAAACTTAACGCTGTAGGACTAATGTGGAGCTGACAACAAACAAAAGAGTATGAACATTTTGTAGCTGTTTGGGCGTACGGCGAGACGGCGAGTGATCTACGTTTTTATTTATTTCGTGGTGGAATAGCTAATGCTTTGGTGACATTTTATACATATGATCTTGTAGAGAATTTTATTACCAACACATTGATACCAAAAGGAAATACGTAGCTCGAGAATTGGTGTCAGGAGAGTGAAAAGATTACACACTGTTTGGTGTTTAAACAACAGCAACATTTGAGGACACCGGGGAACCACTGTTGCATACCACACATTTAGATCATGAACGTCACCCGGTCTTAGAAGAGGATCTAGATGGAGATTTCCTAGACAGCAAACATCACAGCAAGGCAAACAGATTGGAGGCGAAACGCTGCCAACTTACAGAGGTAAACAGAGACCATGCCGGCACCACGAAGTATCTTATATAATGCCATTCCCAAGATATTCGGGATCAACGGCTTAAGTCTCCTTAAGTTTACCATTATTCGTGCCTCAGTTTTCTATGTATTTAAAAGGGGTAACTTGTTTATCGATTCTTACTTACCCATATCATTGCCTTTCCTGAATTTACCTTACCTGAGGTAAGAACTAAGAACTAAGAACTTTCTACTGGCCTCGACGAGGGCAGGATGCCGACAGCTTGTCAAAGGTATCCCAAATTTATCCTAATAATTTTATCAATTTGGATTTTAAATTGCAGCATTTTGGCATTTACGGCTTCGACGGGTAGGCAGTTCCGTGGGTTTATAACCCTGTGGGTGAAACACATCTCCTGTCTTGAGTCCTTCATTGTGGTTTCTTGTAAGGTGTCACTATCACCCAAATGGTTCAGCATTT